GAAAAAAGAACCAAACTTAGAAATTGTTTCAAGACAAATTCAGGAACTGTGTGTCAAAAAGGATTGGACTGAAGTAGTGTAGCAGAAAGATGAAAACTAAAATGCATGAATTTTATATATATGTGTGTATGTGTATATATACGTGTCAGTCACTCAGTTGTGTCTGACTCTTAGCGACCCCGTGGACTGTAGCCCACCAGGCTCCTCTATCCATGGGAATTTCCAGGCAAGAATAATGGAGTGGGTTGCCACTGGGTCTCCTGCATTGCAGGCAGATTCTTTACCATCTGAGTCAACAGGAAAGCCATGTGTGTGTGTGTGTTTGTGTGTGAACAAAGGCAGGTGTCTTCCTGCTTGTGTGTGTGTGTGTGTGTGTGTGTGAGTGAACAAAGGCAGGTGTCTTCCTGCTTGCTTCCACAGAAGAGAGTATAGAAATTAATAGACCAACCATGTAACTTAAACAGGGGACTTGCTGGTAAGAGTATCAAAACCAATTATGTGTACATGCAGATCCTCTAACTTTATAAAGGCTAAATTGGCTTTCCTCACCCTGAAAAGACGGCAGGCCTCAGGACCATTCCTTGATCCCACTGAATGCTTCCTATATTAACACAATACTAAGCAGCCTTGGGGCTTCCCTGGTGGCTCAGAGGGTAAAGCATCTGCCTGCAATGCGAGAAACCCGGGTTCGATCCCCGGGTCAGGAAGATCCCCTGGAGGAGGAAATGGCAACCCACTCCAGTATTCTTGCCTGGGAAATCCCGGAGGAGCCTGGTAGGCTAAGGCCAGCTGGTGGCAAAGAATCAGACCCACTGAGCATGCAAGCATGCAAAGCACGCAACATCCTTAATCATAGAAAAAAAGCAAATTAAAACCGTAATGAGGTACCATTTTATATCCTTTACTACGACTAAAATAAAGACGGCTGATGGCACTAAAATTTGGCAACATTTAAAATTAAAATTTGGCAACTAAAACTCATATAAACCACTTTGGAGACTTGTTTGGCAACTTTTTAAAAAAAATTAAACATACATCTTACCCTATGACTCAGTAAATCCACTCTTAGGTACTTATAAAGAGAAATAAAACACTTATCCACACAAGACTCACAAAATGTTCATAACAACTTTATTCATAACAACTCAAATCTAGAAATAGCCCAAATATCCATCAAGAGGAAATGAGATCCACAAATTGGGGTACATTCATACAACGGAATACTATCCATCAGTAAAAGAGAAAGCACTGATACAACATACCACTGATACACACAACACTGACAAATCTCAGAAACATTATGTTACAGAAAAGAAGTGGACACCAAAAAAAGCACATCCTACTGTGTGACTCCATTTATGTCAAGTCCAAGGCTAAGCAAAACAAAGCTATGATGTCAGAGGCAGGCAGTAGGAAAGTGGTGGCCTTCGGAGGATGTGTAAAGGGAACGCTGTGAAGGGGCATGCGGGTACTTTCTATGGTGATAAGAATATGTTCCATCTCGTTAGTAGAAGTTACAGTGTATACAATGGACAGAACTCCTTGAATTGGACATTGAAGATGTGTGCATTCCAATGAATGCGAATTATACCTCAGTGGAAAAAAAAAAAAAAAAAAAAAAATACAATGCAGTGCTCCGCTTCATGATAGCAGTTAATGATTTTGTTTCAAATGAAATTTTAGACTACCGCACACATATTCAATTACTTGCTATTCAACTCTCTATTCCTTCGTTATTGTAACCCACCTAATGGATTACAGATGCCTATAGGTATATAGATCAAAAGTATATGCGTTCATGTTCAGGTTTCATTAACATCAAATCAACTTTGACTATTCACAAATTTCAATACATACCTAATGGACTGTGAGAAGTTCAGTAAAATTTTGTTTTCTAATATGATTTTATAGTTGTCATTTTAGAGGGTCTGAAATAAAACTGAGAAAGGAAAAGGCAGCTAAATTGGACGTCAGCAAGGACGGAAGATAGTACTTTGGCAACCATTACAACCCAAAGAATAAGGCTCTCAACTACCTCAATCAAGACAGAGTCATGTATGTTTAAATTTAAGGACAACTGAAAAGCATGAAGAATAATTTGCCAGGTAATTTGATCTTTAAAAGATAACATATCCTAAATAACAAGAGCAGTGTACATCACACAGACACCTAAAACTCACTGAGTCCTCCTCCGTGCCTCTATCCAGGTCTGTTTTCACCTTCACCACCTCTTAGCCTCCATAGAACACTGCTCAGATCTGATCTGCATAAAGCCACCTCACTCCAAGTTCCAAATAAATAAACTTATGAAGTTGCACTCTATTCTATGTAGATATATCATAAGTACATTCAAACAGTATAGAGAGTATAGCCTAGGGGAATGCAGATGATCACTTAGTGGGAAAAAGATGACCTCATTTGGTACCATGACTGTTGAAGATCTCTCCCTCTGAACTCCTACAGCATGTTTTTATTCCCTACAGACAAGCTTACAGTGCTCTGAACTATAAACAAGTACACATGCCTAATCTCAGAGACAGCAGACTCTCAGACAAAAAAAAAAAAAAATGTCTTCCATGTCTGTATTCACCAGGAGCTTACGGCAGGGTCTTGCACAGGTGGGGGCAAAACATATGTTGAATCAGTGAATTACTGAATTAATATGAGTGAAAACATGTGAAAGAGGAGAGATGGAGAAAAACAGAATACAACAAAGAGAAAGGAGAAGGGAAGGAGCAAAAGAGAAAAAAGAAAGGGAGAAAACTTGTGAAGGCAATTATTTTTGTTAGCGAGAAGGATTATTATTTTTTTAATAATGAAAGAGAATTTGAAAAGGCCATTGCTATGCATCTCATATCACAGCTATCAGCACTGGTCTTTAAACTGTCATTATAAACACCCTGAAACATCTCTCTGCCCTTCATATTCAAAGTGTCATCTCCCAATGCAGCTACAGTAATCCCTATCTGACCAGAAGATACAAAGGCCCCACTTCAAACCTACCAGACACTGGGTAATTTGGTGAGAAGCACCACTCTACCCCATTCAAGTCCTTTCTGTTGTAATGAATCTACATTTCATTTAAATAAACCAGCAGCTGAAAGTTGAAAAATCTGATTAGAGGAACCTAAGCACTGTAGCTGGATTTGACCTCTAAGTACTTAATTTTAGGTAAAGTTATTTATTGCAGAGTAATTTGACCTGGAAGATATACCACAAAACTTTGGAATCAGTCATAACAACACACACACAAATTGAGCATTAGGTTAGTGACATCCTAAAGAACTATTTTTGTTCCTTCAAAAATATTTTGTTGCCTAGTACAAGGGCTTGGAATGACAGGTGTGGCCAATGTTTCCTGAATGAATAAAATGAATTTTTAAAGTCAGGTATTTAGGGATGATAATCTTGAGGTCATCGGGCTGAACAACCTCATTTTAAAGATGAGCAAACTAGAAATCCTGAGAGCTTTGAAAGCAAGCAAGCTAAACAAGCCAAAATATACTGCATCTGACATTTTCCCTTTTTCTTCCTTTCCTTCAAATGTGTTAAGTGATTCTAAGTATTCTAATAAAATAACTCTGGCTCTTAAAAGAAATGAGAGGGTTAAAAAAAAAAAACTGCCAAAGGACTTCCCTGGTGATACAGTGGATAAGAGTCTGTCTCCCAAGGCAGGGGACATGGGCTTGATCCCTGATAGGGTAAGATTCCACAGGCGGTGTGCAACTAAGCCTGAGAGCCACAAATACTGAGTCTGTGTGCTGCAACTAGTAAAGTCGCTTGGCCTTTTTAACCTGTGTCATGGAAATGAGAAGTCCTCGCACCCAAGGAAGAATACTCCCACCCACCCCCGTGTCGGCACAACTAGACAAGCCTGCCTGAGGCAATGAAGATCCAGAACAACCAAATAAATAAAAATTTTAAAAAGTGCCTGGACTAGGAAGGAGAGACTAGCAAAGGTAAATGAAGTTGAAGAAAATTATTTTTCTAAGCCTAATACATTTTTGGACAGGCCAATTAATCAATTTAATCTGAAAATTAATCTGAAGGAATTCTCAGAAAAAAGAAACACGAGGTGCATGAAAATGTTACAAACCAAGGGAGACCGCACATAACTAGCTTAAATCTCCACAGGCTTATTTCCTGTTCAAGTATGACCTCCTGGGATTACGTTTTACTGCAATGTTCAACACCAGATGACTTTTGGTTTTAAGAGAAGCCAAGGGCAAGTTGGAAATGCGATTCTTAACTAAACATAAAAAAAAAACCCAAACCAAAACAAACACAAAAAACCCCCCCATGTTCTCATTTGTTTGTAATCTGAATGCAGGCTTGCAGAGGTAACACCCCAATTTCTGTAAGCAAAAATATAACGACCCAGTCACGTCCTCAGAACAAACCAACACACAAACTTCACAGCCGGATCCAGCTGTGCTGCATGGGAGCCAGGAACTTATTCTAAGAGCAAATAGATCAAAACGGGGAACGCAAGACAAGCCAGATTTCAATCAAAAAGGAAAGGGTGTGCCCCGCTTTTTATTTTTTTCCTTTCCAACTTTCACCAGGCAGAAATCTTTGAAGGAGTCTTGGTGAAAAAAACCTTTAGACGCTAGTCCCCCGAGCTACACCCCGGCGAGGGGGAAGGGGCAGGCACCTCGAGTTCTCACGACAGCGGCCCGCGCGAGCTCCAGCCCGGAGGGGAAGGGGCCGGTCCCGAACCCCGCGAGGCCGGGCCCCCGAGTGATTCATCAGCAACTCGGGGTTCGCGCGCCTCCACCGTGGGCGACGCCCCAGCACGTCCCACGGCTGCTACCCCGGCTCGTCAGCTCTGAAGCAGCCTCCAGCGTCCCCACGCTCCCCGAGTGGGATCGGTAGGGAAGGAGATCTCAAGCCGAGCGGCTGGAAAGCGGCAACCTCTCCCGCCTCAGCCACCATGGCCGGTGCGACTCCCTGCCCGCGTCCGCAGACGGACTTCCTGGAAAGCACCGGGCTGGGCTTACCTGACTGGCGTCCTCTGCGGCCACCGACCTCCTTCACAAACCTGCCGGGACTGCCTGCCGCTCGGTTTCCAGTACCCGCCCGTCCTCCTGCGTCCGCCTCCCAGGGAGTGGTCGGATCCACCCGCCGGCGTTCCCCCGACTCGACGGCGCTGGTTCCCACTCCGCCCCCAGACGCGCGTGCGCACTCCCAGGTCGAGGGGGCATCCTGGGAGTTGTAGTCCGAGCGAGGAGGGCGAGACTCGGCGAAACCTTCGTGTTTTCTGTTTGGTGGACGTTGAAAGAGGCTGCGAATCCCAAGACTTAACAGCAGTCCGAGGAAAAGTCCTCTGCTAGTGGAATTATCTACCTTGGACCCTTTGGGAGCTATAAACAGAAGCTAAAGGCTCCTTAGTACATATTTCCTTTTTTTACTTTGAGTCGAGAGGGACTCACGGCAGGACATGTATGCTTGGTTGCTAATGTGAGGACATGACTTTGAGTCCTCTAAACTTTTCGTGAAAAACTGATAGAAAAAGAAACAAAGGACAAGGCACGAGAGAGACATAAATAAGGAGATGTCACCTCAAAGGCATTGTGACCCTAGTGAGCCTTAGGTATGAAAGCAGGGATGATGTTGCAGAGATCAGTTTCAGCCCCATCCCAACCTCGCATTTTAGCTACAAGCTGTACACAGGCAGTGGAACTGAACAGATATAAGTGGGACGAAAAAGAGAAGAGCTGCTTAGCGGGGAGCTGGGGCAGGTGGACACTCTGGAGGCGAATAGGAAAAGAGAAGGAATACTTTAGAAGACAGCTCTACGCTGGCCTATGAAATGGCTGCCTTTTTTCCTGTGCTCTGAGGAGAGGAAACAGCCAAGACCTCGCATTCATTAATCACTCGCCGGTAATTTTCCCGGTCTGCCCTTCAGGAATAAACCATTCCTCGGAGCAAGCTCCACTTTGATACGCCTTCTTAAAAAAAAAAAAAAGCATCCAGATAGAGGACTGAAGTGCCTGCTTGGGATACATTCCAGCTACACCCAGTATCAGTTCAGTTCGGTCGCTCAGTCGTGTCCGACTCTGCGACCCCGTGGACTGCAGCACTCCAGGCCTCCCTGTCCATCACCAACTCCCGGAGTTTACTCAAACTCATGTCCATTGAGTCGGTGATGCCATCCAACCATCTCATCCTCTGTCATCCCCTTCTCCTCCTGCCTTCAAGTCTTTTGCAGCATCAGGATCTTTTCAAATGAGTCAGCTCTTTGAATCAGGTGGCCAAAGTATTGGAGTTTCAGCTTCAACATCAGTCCTTCCAGTGAACACCCAGGACTGATCTCCTTTAGGATGGACTGGCTGGATCTCCTTGCAGTGACCACATCTAAGGCACATTAAACAATTTTCTAATACAGTCCAGGAAGATGGTGCTCTTACTGGATGAGCTGAATATCGGGATTCATTTGATAGTTCTATATTTCATTATAAGTTAATATATAGGTATTGTGGCTAACCAGAAAGTCTCTTTAGAGTTCATGCTACATCTCGGGAGAAACTGACAAACCGGAGTGTCTGAAATAGCAAGGAAGTAGAGTTGTCCAGGTATGGTTTATTTTAAGGACTTTGCAGTAATACAGCTCCTTCTGCTTTACTCTTTAGGCAGAGAGGGCTTTTAATTCAGTATCTGACAGATTTAAATATGACACATTTCCTCCCTGACCTTCCAATATGGGGTGTTAGGCATACACTAAATATATTTTCTTTTTTAGCTCTTTAACTTGTCCCTAACAAATGCCTTCATCTTTTGAAAATAAAGTGATTTCGTGATGGATTCTTTTCCTTTCTTCAGACAAGTGTTATCATATTATAACGACAAGGCTGACAAATATGAATCTCCTAAACCCACATACATTAAATATCACAAATGGGGCCAGAGGCATTAAGAATAACATTTGAGTATTGGATAAAACTGTAAAAGCAAAACAAAACCCAGAATCTTCCTCACTGCTTTCTCTAACTATAATCTAATTCTCTATACAAGTGCCAGAATGGGTCTTTTTAAAACAAATCAGATCATATCACCCCCTGCTCCAAACCACTTAGGGCTTCCCAAAATATTTGCAATACAATCCAAAGTTACCACCCTCACCAGTCCTTACGTGATTATTTTATTTCCTACCACACACACACTCTTTCTCTCTGCTCCAGTAACTTCAAGTTCTTTCCACTATACTGGAAAATGCATTCCTCCCAAATACTCCTGGCTCATACCCTCATTTTCATGAGGGTTCTTTTCAAATGTCACCTCTGAAATGTCTTCTCTGATCATCTTACCCTTTCTCCCCTTTACTTTGTCTTCTTAGCACCCTGTTGCTACCTAACATCTTGCTTGATATACTAATGTAAGCTCCAGGAGTTCACATCATTTACCCCTCTCTTCCTAGCATCTGCAACAATGCCTGACATGTAGTAGGTATTCAATAAATACGTGAAATAAATAACCTTCCCTCCCCCTCCTGCACATGAGTGGGACACAGGACCACAGGGTTCATGGTCAAGACCAGTCAAGGTTCTGATGCAGCCATAAACACCAGCTGTGAGAGGATTTGGCTCCACAGGCAAGATCCAGTGAAACTCATCCTGAAATGGAGACAGAGCTCTCTTTTTAAAGGACTACGCTTTATGAGTTGCCATTATTAGCTTACAGTTAGAAAAGCACAGTTGTGGAAGAGGGGGGAAAAAAGGCAAAACCTGAAAATTATATTTACACAGTTAAATGGAAAGGGTAATCTAACTAAAAGGTTAATCTGACTAAATAATCTAACTAAATGGCGGATTTCAATATTGTTCCCAATTATTTGCTCTCTTGTAAAGACTGCTTTACCCACTGTTATATGATTTGGAGTGCCTCCCTATAAATATTTTCAGGTTTCTTTTCCATCTTTCTTCACACAAATGTTGTCATATCATCATCGCAAAACTTATAAACATGAATTTGCTTTGGCCAGTAAAATGAGTGGAAGTGACGATAAGACATTTTTGAGTGGCGGCTTTAAGAGTGCTATTTCCACCCATGTGCTTACTCTTTCCTTCTACCAGGAGAATGGCATGTCCCAGATCGAGTCTTGTCCTTCTGCCTGGATTTTAGAATAGGTCACATGGAATCAGAGCTTTGGCCAAAAGCAGGTGTTGACACGTAACTGGAGCAAGAAGTAAACTGAGAGTTAGGTTTGTTTGTTACTATAGACTGACCTAGCAAAGCTGACTACTGCAGTGCCTATTCCATGAAAGGTGAGCCTCTGAAATAGAAGTGGTATGGCACTCCAATCCCATGCATTTAACACCACTTCAAGTAATTGAAGTAACTTTCATTAAGTTTAACATACAGAAGAGAACAAATCTGAGGCTGTTAGGTAAAATATTTGAGTAAGGAACAGAGTACACTTCCTGTTTTCAGGGTTTAGTGAGAGTGAAAGTGATTGATAAAGTGACACAGTAACTTTACTTAATGTATTACAAGCCTAATTAGTGTTATCTTTAAACTTCCAGCCAGAGTAACTCATAAAGCCTGTTGTACTGAATCATCATTTGCAAATTAATGCCAGCAGCAATTTTCTTGTTATCAAAAGTTTCCTTTAGGAAATAGTTTCCTTGATATACTTATTTTTTTTTAATGTATTTTATAGGCCAGCAGACAAAACTTAAGCTGAAGACATCAAGTTGTAAAAAAAAAAAAAATGGTAAAGATTTCATTCCTGGGAGCTTGGAGTTGGTTAAAGCAGTGGGAGGTAGGAATCAGAGAAGATGGACACCATAGCTGGGGTGTATGATTTTAAAGGAAGGATTTAAGCAAACACCTTTAGCTTGAAACATCCTTCCTTAGCACCCCGGTGTCTGCTTGTTAGAAGTTTCTCATGTTTCACTGTCCATTTCAAATGCCTATTTCTCACTCAAACTTCCCCTAATGCCATCAGCTGGAATTGATTTTGCCATTCCTCACATTCTCATATCCTATTGTGCCTCCACTGGAGGTGCACTAAATATACCCACCTTTCAGCCAGATGACAAAGGGCTAATTCAAATTTTCAGCCAAAGCCAAAGCTGCTCACAAATGTCACTATCAAAAAATAAATTTCTAGGATACACAAATAAACCTAAAAACTGATGCCAAAATCTAACTTACTGTTTTAATATTATTTAAAGTATTAGTGCTTAAATAGTAAAGCTTACCATAGCATAGGAATAATAATTTCCAAGCTCTGTGAGCTGTAAGACTCTCCTACAGTCACTGGAGAGAGTCCTATTTCAGCTGAGGTGAGTGGATGAACAAGAGCCATGTCCTAAATGTAACTAAGTAAGAATTAAATTCTGGTTTTAAATTATATGTTCTAGGTACACCAAAGATTTCCACAAAGAATAGAGTTATGATATAATCTCTTCGTATCCTTCCTTGTACTATTAAAGTTTTAAAAACAAATTTATTTTATAAATTTTATAAAAATTTATTTAAAAATAAAAAAGATACACTTGTTATTCCTAAGGTATCTAGCTAATGCAGTCCATATTTGTAGTACCTGTCAACCTATTTCTCTACTTAACTGCTTGAAAGTTCTTAATAATTTTTGAGTTGATCTCTTTTTAATTGATGTTGAACACAAAATGAAGGAATTACTACAGATTTTGCTTAGCCAATCTGCAATATTATTTAATATTGCAACAATATTGCAATTGATAGAATTGCAATAAATAAGAGATTTTTCACTAGATTAAATCTAGAATACCTGCCTATATCTAAAAATGAACATTCATAAAATAACAAATCTAAATGACATACTTTATTCTTATCAGTGACACTGTTGACTGATTAGATATAAGAATAACCTTTAAAAACATATAAACACAAATCATGACAAAGTTCAAGGATGATGGAAATAATAGTGAAGTAGGCATTCTAAAAGCTGAGGCCCAAAGTCCAGGACAAATAACAGATTCTTGGCCAAATATCAGGACTCCATGTCTAGTCACTTAAGCTAGAGTTAACTTTTAGGCAGGCACTTTCTACTTCTTGCTCACAGTTAAGATTTTAGTCAACACTAAAGTTTTTATCCACACAGATGGTAATTAAGTCACATTTTTTCCATTCTCTTTTGTAGTTGGTTTTTGGATTAAGTAGAAAACTGTACTGTTGTTTCTATTCAATTTTATCTGCTTAGATACAGGCATAGACTTCGGCCTGTCCAGATAGTTTTGAACCTGTCAGAGTATTCCTTGTCTATCCTCGAGTCCATGAGCTAAAGATTCAATCTATAGTCTATGAGTATCACATCCAAATTAGGGATGAACTGCTAAATAAAACTCACCAAGGAAATAGCTGTAGAGTAGCTAAGCCCTCCTGGTTGAAATTCTTCCATTAATCAGCCTTTACTTATGATCATGAATTAAAAAGACTGTTTAAACCAGCCATTTAATTACTTTGATGAATTGTTGTGCAGCCCATATTTTTCAAGGATATGTGAGACTTTCTCAAATGTCTCAATGAAATCTAAACACTGTATGTTCTTTGGACGGTATTCTCATGACTTCCTACCATTTCTTCTATGTGAACCTATGCTGCCTCTTAGAGATCACTGCTTCAATTCTAAGTGCTTACAAACCACTAAAGGGGATAACACACTTTTCTAAAATGTTGCTCAGGACTGGTAAGTTCAGTGGTCTACAATTTGGAGGACTCTCCCATCTCTGCCCAGCTTCCACCTCCACCACCACACCCTTTGAGTCATGCATAGCATCTCATTTCTTAGGTTGGTTGGGCCCGAAGTGTAGCCCGCCTCACTAAAGCACACATACACCTAGTCCCTATGAAGGCCCTGTGATACGTGGGACACTTGCAGGACGCTGTGGGCATCTGGTTATGTTCCCTGACTGGTAGGACTGAGAAGCTAGCTGGAAGCAGGGTAGAGAGGGTGTGGGGCACCACTTCCTACAGCCCCAGAGGAAGGCTGTATGATCAAACCAAGAGAAGGTGGTCCATAACAAAATCAAGCATAACATACAACTGACCCCAAATCAAGGAGTCACTCCCGAGGCCAAACTGCCAAATCCAAAGGAGGGCACCCAGAAAGCAGGGCAAATGCAAGCAAGGTGAAAGGTCAGGGGAGTCACAAAAAGCTAAATGAGGGGGTGGGTCAGGAATAACTCCTGAGTCAGCTCTATCTTACTCATATTTGATTCGTGGAATGATAGGGGAGGGCCTATCTGACACAAAGGGGATGGACGATGAAAACACAAAAATAGTAAGATTCAGTCCTTAAATTCCTAACACTGTCAGCATAAAATGAAGAACTTTGTTGTTGTTAATATCCATGGATACTTATTTAGGTTAGAATTTTTCTAATATCTTAGTGCCTTCTACATGCCAGGGACTGCTCTAAATCTTTACATGTGCATCCTCATGATAGCCCTAATGGGAAGCCGGGTTGTGATTCCTATTTTAGAAGTGAAGAAACTGAGGCTGGGTTATTTGCAGAAACTCACACAACTAACAGAAGTCAGATTCTGATCCCAAAGTGCACACCTGTAATGCCTATTCATTACAGCTTCATAGACTGAAAGAGAATCCTTCAAATAAATACTATACCTTCTTGACCATGAAAAGGTGTGAGATAGCAAATATAGAAACTCGACACAGGCCTTCTATGCTTCTTCTTGGGCTTTGTCGTCAGTCCAAGAGACAAAGAGTTTGAGCACAGTTCAACAGGGCAGCAGAAATAATAGGTTTTCCTGTTTTTCCAGGACAAGCCTTTACAATGTAACTTTATTATTTTTAGTGTTCCCTGTTTTGAATTCCATCATACTTTACAAAGAAAGCAATTCCAAAGTTAATATAAAAAACTCAAGGTAAAACACTTAACCTCTTTGAGTTACCTGTGTTCTCGTTCCCATTTATTGTAACAAATGTGAACTGTTTAGCGAATGTTGTGTGTGTGTCTATTTTCATTTTGATAATAAGGTCTCAGTTTCTCCTCTGACTACTTCTGGTTGTCTGTCTACTTCTTATCTTCTTCATAATAGGGACACTCTAAGGTCCCTTCTAGCAAATGTAGTTTTCTAATATGAGAACACAGTGTCAACCATTTACTTTAAAAAGGCCAGATGTCTTAAAATTATCCAGATTAAATCAGTCCTTGCTTTCATTTTTAAAAAGAAAAGTTTATTAATTCCTAGTATTCTGTACATTTTCACTTGGAAATTTCATTCCAGACACAAATGAATACATTATTATCTTTAAAAGCAGAAAGATATTGATTCATTAAAATAGTGTACATTTACCTTAGCGTTAGATCAGGCTGGCAAATTCCAAAGAGTCAAACACTGCATCTATTTATGCCACCTGGGATCCTTATTAATTATCATGGGAAAAGTACTTCACACTTCATACATTTTGCTTTTTCACACATTTCCCACAGAATGTTCAATTTCACATTTAAAAGGCAAATTAGTCTTCAATTCCCTAATGAATATAATCAATATCTACCTTTGATTGGAAAGTTTCAAAGTGAAAAATGAAATTATGTGCATTTTCCAATAACGGCTTAGCCAAATAAATGTTGCCATTGTAAGTTTAAACAGCTTACAAAGTATTATTTCCTTTTTTCTCTTCAAAATAATACAGGGACACATAAAGTCACACATTACAAGCATCTGAACCGGTAAAGTATTACACACTGGTGGCATGCAAGTATTTTACATTTTTAAATGCAATGAAAAATTCTCTCGTTTTCCTTAAATAGATGAAACAGAATTAAGATAAAGTTTTAATTAAAATATAAGTATTATTCCATGAATATAATGGGGTTTTTTGAAAAGCAAAGCGGCAGAGATGAGAATTTTAGTTCTGAAGAATTTCTTTCTTAACTAAAGATTGTCACTGGCAAAATTTGGTACTAAAATAAAATGTCCTTAAAAAGTACTCCTTCTATCCATCTCATCATATGGCCAATTCTTATCTATCCGCATTTAGATTATCCATGGGAAAGTTTTAATCCGGGACAAGCTTCTCTCAGTCACACAGTGTACTGTGCGATTGGCTTCTATTATCCAGTCAATATGTGCTCAGACTCTCTCCGTCTTTAAATAAAAATCTATGAAAAACATGCCATGTTTACTGTGCTCAGTTTCTTTACATTTCCTTCTTTCTTTCTCTACTAATTTTGAGGAGAAAATATATTTTAAAATGTCTTTTTTGAAAAAGCTGCTCCTCTAGAACTATTCTGAAGACAGTAAAATCCGCTGAAGGGGAACAAATGGCTCTGTGGAATGTTCAGACCCCTTCCTCTGAACAAAGCCTAGGAGGAGAGAAGGAGCAAGAGAGGCATAGAGCACCCACGTTCACAGGTGACGGGGACATTTAGAATCACAGGACTGTCGCATTTAGGAGCTGGAAGGGACCTTGGAGAGCATCTAATCCACTCACTCATTTTAAAAAGGAAATGAAGATTAGATGAAAGACCTGCCCAAAGTCACACATAGTGAAAAAAGTGAGCGTGTTAGTTGCTCAATTGTCTCACTCTTTGTGACCCCATGGACTATAGCCCACCAGGCTCCTCTGTCCATGGAATTCTCCAGGCAAGAATAATGGAATGGGCAGCCATTCCCTTCTGGGGATCTTCCCAACACAGGGATCAAACCCAGGTCTCCTGCTTTGCAGGCAGGTTCTTTACCGCCTGAGTCACTAGGGAAGCCACACAGAGCTGACATTGAAATCAGTATTATTTTCCAAAAGTATCCCATGGTGGCAAATGGAGCATGATTCTTGCGGGGCTGGAGGACATTTCAATTCAATCAACATTTATTAAGCACCTATTATGTACAAGGCACCTTACTAGATGCTACTGAAGATGCAAAGATTCATGAGACAGTCCCTGCCTCCCAGCACTTACGAAAGTTCCTTGAGGCTGTGTTTCAATATCTTTCTTAGCAGAAAATAATACTGATCAGGGCTAAGGTTGCTGGTGATAACAAAGCAGCTGATGCCTGGGAGAGCTGACCTCACAAGTGATACTTCCTGCCCTTTGCTATCAGGGCTCAAGCCTATTACACAGCTGCTGGGGCCCTAAAGAACAGTCTTCTTTCCTAGGCCTCCAATCACACCTCAAGCCTTAGCTGAACCCACCCCCTGAGTAGTGACAGAGCTGACTGGACAGCAGCAGTGCTCAGACCCTCCCCTCAATTCTTAATTACTGTTCGTTCCCCCCTGCGTCCAGCCTTAAGCTCTCTGCAAGGGTCCTGACAACATCCCAGGGTGCTGTCAAAGTGGCCCAGGAAAATGCCGCCCCCCCCTTCACTGGTATGTCTAACACTCACAGCACCTATCAACCACTTCTCCTACTTCTATGTTGAAAGTAAAATAACCAGTCCCCGACATCATACCCATGCTTCAATTCCCCATATTCAAAAAGACGTGAAAGATGTAATTGTTGCTTAGAAGAAAAGAAAACAGATTCAAGAGGCAGTGGAAAACAGTAGTGAATAGATAATAAAAAATGATCTCCCACTTTTGTATAGCCCTTTCCAGTATAGTGTTTTCATCCCAATAGCTGATTATATTCTCACCACAACTCTGTGAGGTAGTTAGTGAAGATTATTCCCATTATAGTATAACTGAAGAACCTTAGGTTTGAGAGACTGAGTGGCTTGGCCCATAGTCTCCCAGCTAAGAAAGTATGGAGCCAAGTGTCCAAGTGTCTTGACTCCAAATCCAGTGCTCTTCCCCCTATATAGTCTATAATTGTCAGGCAATTGAATGAATTGCCCATGATCATATACCTGCTAAGTGTTGGTGATGGGATTAGGAGTCAGTCTCCAAATCTGTTAGTATGGTGCCCTGCCACCATACCAACTAGCAGAGCCAATGTGCTCAGAATGACTACCATGGAAGATGTCAGAGAAAAGTCTAGTCTCCTTCACCCTCCTTCAAATCAACGATGCATCACAGAACTGGGATAACCTCTGATATGCATACAACCTTCCTAGAACAGGCAGGTTATAAATTCAAACCTTGCCACTCCTCCTCCATCCATCTTCTGAATGTTTAATCATAGCTGTTATGGGCAAAGGAGAAAGAGGTAAGCTGAGCAGAGCTTACTTCTACCCTTAAGCAAATGAAAAACATTAATTCCATCTTCCTTCTCCACAGCACCTAGCCCCTCCACACTACTAAACTCCTGAACCACAAAACAGAATTTGATCTAGAGTTGGGAGCAAGAACAGTGACTACATCCTTGAAGTTCTGGGTACTTTTCTCTCTCCAGCTTGTTACCAGGGGCCTGATCATGTGATTTTCATCCAGAGGGCATGCCTGATGCTCCCAAGCATTCTCACACCTTTCCTTTGCGTGTGTCTCCATCCTTGAGTATTGAGGATGGCACAGTGAGTGACAGGGATATTTTAAATTAGGAGCAAAAAGGGGAAACTGTTACTGTCATGAAAAGCTAAAATATTTCTTAGTTCTCTGTTCATTACAATGAATATAGCTATCATGCTTCATTAATGGAAGAGAAGAATGAAGCGACAGAATCAAGACTTCAAACCCAACTCCAGAAACAGTTCTCCTGGGGATAGGTAACACAGCACAGAACCCAGTGTTCACAGCTCACTGCTCCCTGCTAGTTTTTGCATATGCAATCAATACTTGAGCTAAAAAATGGTATCCACTTTCCAAAAGGGCACTCTACCCCAAAACCCGGAAGCAGAGGTCAAATTATAATAATCTTACACTTCCCGTCTCCTTCACAGTGCCTAGAAGAGGGCTAAGTACATCGTGACCACAAAAAAGGAAAATATCCTCAAACTCTTGGAACTTTTAAAGGGCTATCTTACATTTATAGCATGTTGACGCTTAAACCAATTTCAGGTTTGACTGAAATGTTCTCATGGCAGTTATTCAGAATACACTGGTTTCCTTAATGCTGGTGCCCTGCCAGGGGCCACATTTCTGTCTGGAAGGGAAGCAGCCGTTCTTTTGATTTGATGTGCCAGGCTTCCCTTAGGGAAATTGTTTTGAGGAGTATAGGCATTGGGATGCTTTGTGAGTTTTTAAATGGAGATGGGCTTGTATTGTAAGATGAACTGAGTGCTTTAAGATGGGTGAGTTGCACGAGCCCCTCCAGGTTAGTGGTCCTCTACCTAACCTAGGCCCGCATCAACTCTGCGAGAGGAGAGGGGAGAGGGGCCAGGAGACCGCATCTCCCTTCAATCAGGAGTCCAGCTTTGGCCAAATACCTCCTTTATAGTATTTGGCAATCTTTAATGTACAAAATATCTATATACAATATATCCTACAAAGATGGAAGGAAGGGGCCTAAGCATGTTGATGGAGATGAAAGCACTTTCACTCATACATTTTAGGCATATGGAGAGATTTGGTGCTGGGACAATGAAATGATTTCCAGGCTTCCCTAAAAGTTATCTTCCATAGTGCTGTGAAATTTGGTGGTTGGTGACCTAAGCTGCAATTTCTAGTGAGGGATTTCACATTTAACCTACGCCTAAAGCAGCTCTAAAAAGAACAAGGGAAATGGGGCTGGGGAGAGAGTATCTCCCTTCAATCAGTGGTCCAGATGCAGCCAAATACCCAGGTAGATATTTGGCAACACACACACACTCACATGACATTTATTTACATTATGCCCTACTAAGATGAAAGGCAGGGATTTAATCGTGCTGATGAGGATAAAGCAGCTTGCATCACACACTTCTGGCAGATGGGGAGATGTTGTGCTGGACTAATGACATGATCGCTCTAGACTTCCAGAATGTATATCCTAAAAGTTATCTTCCACATATGCTGGGATGGGTGTTGGTGACAGGAGCCTGAAAGTCCAGGTGAATGATTTTACACTTAGGATGGGCCTGTACAAGTCTAAAAGGGGAAAGGAGGTCGTCTGGGGAAAGATGACCTCCCTTCAATCAATTGTCCAGATGCTGCCAAATATATTGACTAATATTTGACAAAATGCATATGTATAAAGATATTGTATATACATTACGTCCCACCATGATGGATGGTAAGGGATTAACCATGCTCAGGATCACGAAGGAACTTCTACTTACATACACTGTGGAGACAGGGAAATGAAATTCTAGGTTAATTAAATGATATATGTTAAGTTGCTTCAGTCGTGTCCGACTCTGTGCGACCCCATGGACAGCAGCCCACCAGGCTCCGCTGTCCATGTGATTCTCCAGGCAAGAATACTGGAGTGGGTTGCCATTTCCTTCTCCAAAATGACATATAGGCCCTCCAAATTTATCTTCTAATAGTTAGGTGAATACTCATGGAAATGCCACTTTTAAAGCTACTTCAAAAACACAGGTAATGATAAGTTGATTAATAATAAATATTTGATTCAATAGATTCTATATACATTTGACCTATTTTATAAGCTAAAAACAGTGCTAAATTTTGACAATATCCCATTAGTTTGCTTTAATACTATCAACAACTGCAGCATAGTCACTATCAAGTCCTGACCTTTTTCCTTCTTCCTGCCAGGGTTTGCCAAGAACTGCTTTAGCCCCGGGTCCACAGTATCTTGGGGCTGCAGGGAACACTCTGTAGGATCCAAGATCCAAGGCAAGAAAGAGAGTAAATGAGAACAGAAAAGAAAAAGCCTTACTTAGTGGGGCATGTCAGGGACTCTGCACTTGAATATATTTGCAACAAATCTAAAGGGAAAGGAGAAAGACAACTAAGAAACAGAAGTATTCTTCCCTTTGGCAACACGGTAAACAAAACATGTATACCAAAAAAAAAAAAAAAGGAAGAAAAACTGTATACATTTTACCCAGTGCTATGGTGATGGTGGATGCATGAACCAGCAACCTGGGATACGTGAGATAGGGGAAAGTCTTGATTTATAACATTTATCAGTTTCCATGCTATGATCAATTTCAAACTACCAGCAAGAAGTATGGAACTTCTTAGTTGGGAAGAACTAGTGAGTTGGGGAGAGATGTATAATAGCATACCACGATATAGTATTTCTGCCAAAAAAAATTTGTGCCAAAAACACAGTTGGTGCAAATAATCTCAAGAGTACGAAAATGGCAAAATGTATTTTTGAGTATTACTTTTGTTTTTTGGATATAATTATTTAATTGTAAGTGCATGCCATTTAATTTTTAATAATGGTTGTGCTTAGCACCAGTTTGCAAGATTCTTGATAATTTAATAATGGTGAAACCTATATGAGTTGGCTCCAACATACCACACCTAAATGAATAAAAGGGAAATAAAAAAATCAAATAGTAGTTACTACTTTTTTTTTAATAGATAGGTAAATCTAGCAGAAAACTAAAGAATCTTTGTGATTTCCAAAATTCAATATGTTCTGCTCATTATTCCCTCAAAAAGTATAATAAAATATTCTTACATCTTAAAGGATTTTATTTTGTTTTCTTCTTTTTTTTTTTTCTTTTTCTTTTTTCAAAAGATTTTAGAGCTAGAGATGTGGGCACTTACAAGTAAATATCTAATTTTATTGGGTTGGTCAAAAAGTTTGTTCCAAGGTCAAAAAAGTTGGTCGAAAAGATATTAAGGAAAAACCCAATAGACTTTTGTGGCTAAGAAAGGACTTTCTCTCCAGTTTCTGTGTGTTTTATAAACTAACTAGAATAATATATGAGTTGTTTTCCCATTTATTTGTTTTATTGCTATCAAGCAACTCAGGAACACTCAATTACTTAGTGAATTCTTCATTGGGCCCATGTTCTGCCTGACTCAGCAACTCCTTTAGCTCCAGGTGTCATCAAGACAAAGGACATCACCTTTACAAGGCTCAGAATTACAGAGAAGAAAGAGAATGAATGGAAGGAAAGGAGAGGGAAGAGGAGGGAGAGGAGCCTAAGGCAGTGTCAGAGGGCCATTAATTCTAGCCTCAGGCACTGACAGTTATAAAAGAGCTGGTGCCAAAGGCTGCAGTCACATATTTCCTTAGCTTAACATGACACTATTGGCTGTTGGATGAAACATCTATCAAGCATCTATTCAAGCATCTATCAGGCAGTCATCTCAGTTGTACTTTCACAGGCTTTGTCCTTGAGATAACAAACTCTGGATAAATAATAATTCACATTTTTCCTGATGTTTGCAAATATCTGGATGGATCATGCCATGTGGACAAAATCTACATAATTATCCTGAACATTTATATTTCATCCTGTGATCTTGTTGCCCTAAAGACAAAGCAATAAATGCTTCTAAAATCTTCCAAAATAATGTAATTGTGTGTAGTAGATAACCTTCAGGTGCTATTATTACTGTTTTATTTAGGAATGTACTATTTGAAAAGCTTTCCTCTGACTAAAATTTAAAAATTTCCCATCATGGCTGGAAAACTTTAAAACAGTTTTGTAAAATGTTATCCATAGAGTGATGTTAAAGATTGAATGTATGTGGAATAATCAGTAAAAGTAGCTAATTCATTTTGCTACCCATGAGTCTGGCTTAAAGCTATATTTGTGCGTGAATAAATATTTCATACTTATTTGCTAAAGCTGTGTTTATGTATCATAACGCTGTCTTCTTTTTACAAGGATGACACCACTGATTTTCAACCAGCAGGGCATTTGCATTTAGTGACTTTTCTGGAACTAAGGGAGAATTTGTGCTAACCTGGTTACATTTTCTCACTCAGTGAAAGATTGGCAATACTAACTTCTTATGTGGTCAGCGGAACACTTCTGATGTATTTAGCCTAACTCAAAGCTGTGCATGTAAACAGAGGTAGGCCTCTATCTTAATCACAGTTACAAACACATTTATACATTAAGTTCCTTTCAATGGTTAAAAAAAAAGTTCACATAAGAAAGCAAGACAACCCAGTATGAAAATGGTTAAATCATTTTTGATTGCTGTCACTGACTAAGATCTGCATAAATCATTAGTGCAAGTCGCCAGAGGTGTCCAGGAGCAAATAAAACATATGTTGCATATGTTAAAAAATCCAAGACAAATATGTAGCACTAAAAAAGAATAACAATTAAATTACTAGTTGCTTGGTTAATGGAAATGAACAACCTTTGATAAAATGGTCCCAGTGAAGAAGGAGAAGAACTTCTGTATTTAAAGTGCTGCCGTGGGGAAACTTCACCTCTTTTTGTGGAAGTTTACCTTCGGTCACCTTCAACTCGCTTTTTACGAACTAGATGAGAAAGAGAAAAAGGTTTGAAAAGACAAAATGAAGGAGAGGGAATATTCCTTAAATTTCAGACAAACAACAATAATCACACAGAATAGCAATCCTACACGCTTGAGGACAGTTATCAAAAATTTCAATAATTATCCAGGGCAACACACGGAAATGATAGAAGAGCCCAGTGCTTTGTGGAATTTACATTTAAATAAAGCTATGTCTGATAGTTGGGAACTTGAATCTTAGAGCTTTCCAATTTCAACGGAGTAGAAGTCTGGAACAAACCCATGAGACAGTGAACGTCTCATGTTTACTTATCCACAGCATATCTTCTTAGCTTCTGTGTAACTCAGTCACCAACTGGCTAAAACTAATTCCCTAGGATGATATATTTACAATTCTGATTTTGAACTGAAGACCACGAAGAGCTGCAAACAGTAAGTTTAAAGTTTCTAAACCTGTTTTAAATGGAAACTTCAAAATAGCAATCTCCAAGGAAGGTGTGCTGAAGAAGGGAATGGCCACCCACTCCAATATTCTTGCCTGGAGAATTCCATGGACAGAGGAGCCTGGCAGGCTATAGTCCATGGGGTCGCAAAGAGTCGGATACAACTGAGCGACTAAACAACAACAAGAAGGAAGGTGTTATTCAGGTGTCTAGCAAACTCAGAGATCAAGGTTCATTTAATCTGGTGTGAGTGCGTGAGTGCTCAAGTCGCTTCAGCCTCTTTGCGGACTCCATGGACTGTAGCCCACCAGGTTCCTCCAGTCTCCTTTGTCCATGGGATTCTCCAGGCAAGAATATTGGAGTGGATTGCCATGCCTTCCTCCAGGGGATCTTTTTCAATCCAGGGATCGAACCCACATCTCCTGAGTCATAGGCAGATTCTTTACCCACTGAGCCACCTGGGAAGCACCCTGTAATCTGGTACTTTGTATCAAAGGAGCTAGCCTGACTGCCTTTCCCAACTTCTACAACCTTCTTCCCCCTTTCACATCCCTACCTGCAGGCTCCTCTGGTGGACAGGAAGAGGACTGCTCTAAGCTTTCTGGATTTGGCAAAAGAAAAAAAAAAGTGCCCTGGCCTGTGGCCCTATCTCATCTCCTCACTTTACATAACCCAGACTGCTCCTGCCTCAGATGCAGAAAATCTGACAAAAGCTATTCCCATGACTGCTGCTCTTGGGCTCAGGATCGCCTCTCCATTTACTCCAAACCTCCAGTTTTGCCTATTTTACTTTGTTCAGATGAGGACCTACATGTTTTCCCAGGTATCTTCTGATTGAAGCTCTAATCATTCCCGTTTGCTGCCCACTGCGCCTCACCCTTCACGCCTTGGAGGCAAACACTGCCATATGCCCGGCCAGCCTCTGGGTGCCATTCACTGCACCTTGGCTGGGCTTCAGGGTTGTGGGTAAGCACGTGTGGGCAGGGAACTGCACGCTAACACTCACCTGCCTTCTTATGGTTCTAACCTTTAGCTTTCATCTTGTCTACCATCTGAACCCTCCCCAAGGTCAGCAATGTACTTGGTGGGACACCTTGTTCAGTTTCTCTGAGGTCTGGCATTCTCTCCCCGTACCTCTATTGAGGACTGAAGCCTGTTATTGGCAGGCTACTTGCCAAGTGGACTGTTTGTTGGTACCTGGATGGTCTTTTTCCACACTGTTTCAGGTGGCTAGAATGTCCCCAGATCAAGCCCCCCCAAATGGTGCCATTCTTTTTCACTGTGGTTGACCAGGACATGCCCTACCTCATTCTAACATAAGTCACAAAAGAATGAGTAGCAGGAAAGATTAAAGAGGGACTAACTGAAAAAGCTACTTCTGAGTTTAACCATTAAAAAACATAGCTCTCTTAGGTCATTTCACATGTAAATCACCACGGTATCAGACATAACCATACTTAAACCCAAGTACAAAAGCACAGTTAGGAGTCAAACATAAGTGAACTGGGAATTTCCATGTCACTGTGTCCACTTTCCGGTGTAGATTATAAACAGAGGGTGATTATGCATAAGAAGTAAGTAAAGAAGAATTCAACACACAAAGGAAACCAAGCAAAAATCAAAGGCTGCTTGGGAAAAAAGCTTCCTCTTGAAAGAATGCCACGATAACACTTAAACACTGTAAAGATGATGTGGATTCCTATGACCATGTAATAATATACTTCTGATGAAGGGCTGACACCAAAGGCCAGTGGAATGGTTATCTGTGAGATGTTATGTCTGAAGTGGAGAAATGAATGGTCGTCCTGCTCTTGTAATTACTAACAGCACATATTATGCCTGCATTACCCAGGTCATTATTCTTTGTGATGGCAGCTGCCACTCTTGTTCGTGGTCCTTGCTTGGTAAACTGATATCCAAACTTGAGGATCCTGGAATTCTCCTCCAGCATCTGGGCAATTTCCATCTCCACGGCTGTTCCCAACTGCTGTCTCTGCAGATGTGGACACAAACAGAGGATGGCCAAGAAAGAAGAGGAAACAGTTACTCACATTAACTATGCACGGAAAGATGTACAGCTATTTGTTGGACAAAAAGGCAAAAGTCTCAATTTGAAACAAAGTCACTTGAGATATTTTCTCTCATACACCTGTTCCTTGTTTAAAACCAAAATCCAAGAGGCAGCTGAATCTGCTGGCATGTTAAACTGAAAAGACTAGGCAAATTATTTACGAAGGAAATGACAATTCCAGACATAAAATTAAAGCAAAACTAACATGTGGTGTTTCCACTTTACCCCAGTATCTGTTGTTTAAACAAAGGATTTCATTTTTTTATAGTGACACAGTCTTATAGCAATCAATCCAGTTGCAAAATCTTCTATTCTGGGATCCACATCCAAAGATACCTGAAAATCATCAACTAGACGGGCGGTCATTCTCTCAGAACAGAGTCTCACTAGGAGATCTTCAAGAGGTTTTATTAGTGTGGTTTGAACCATGGCCAGGTGAATTATCAAACACTAAATGGGCTATTGGGCTATAGAAAATTCCCTGTTTTTTTAAGTCGTAGAAAGAGTATTTTTGCTTTTTTTCTTGTTTTTTGAGAAATAGAACAATAATTTTAAAAGTAGGGTTAAAAATGGGGGCATGTAAATATAGGAATCCATAGATAATTTAAGGAACATACTACATTTTTTCCATCCTCTATTCATTAATTTTTTAAAAAAACTACAAAGAAAAGACAAAAAAAGTATATAAAATAAAAAGCTCCCTTCCTCCAGACTCCCATTTCCCATGAAGAAAGTCAGTTTGGCATGTAGTCTTTGAAACATTTTCTGTGCATTCATGTACATGTAATCACATGTAATGTCTGTTTTCTTCACATAAATGGATTACACTAGAATATTATTTTGGGTTTCCCTAGTGGCTCAGATGGTAAAGAATCCACCTTCAATGTGGAGACCTGGGTTCAGTCCCTGGGTTGGGAAGATCCCCTGGAGAAAGGAATAGCTACCCACTCCAGTATTCTGGCCTAGAGAATTCCACGGACAGAGGAACCTGGCAGGCGACCCACAAAGAATCCAACTCGACTGAACGACTTTCACTTTCAGCATATTATTCTAGGGTTTTTTATTTTTCATTTAACATTAAGAACATCATTTCACGTAGGTAAATATATGTTTCCTTCATCCTTGTGAACAACTGCATAGCATTCCATTGTAGTTAGTGATAATATTTGATTCAGCTACATCCTACTGACTGTTACACTGCATTCTATTCCCACAATTTCAAACAAGGCTGTGGTGAACTTCCCGCCCACACAAAGTATCAATATGTCCTGGGGCATTTCTGCCAGTGTGCCTGTAGGGTACATGATAGTTGGCTCCAAGAGGAAGCATTTTTCAAATTTTGATAAATGACTGACTTACCCTCAAAGGTTATGACAATTTGTACTCCTGGTAATAGGGTCAGAAAGTTAGTTTTCCCTACTATAGCCAACATGGGATATTATGAATCTTTTTCATCTTTTTCAATCCAAGGGGTAAAAATGTATTTCACTTACATTTAATTGCTTTAATTTGCACTTCTCAAATTATGACTAAGAACGATTAATTTTCTTATGCATTTGTATTTCTTTGGAAATGTCATTTGTATATTTTTCTACCAGCTTGTAGTTCCTGTTTTTAAAATTTATACATTAGGAAATTAGCTTTTTGTCAAAAATGATGAAAAAATTTTGCTCAGTTTGTATTTTGACTTTCCTTTTGATTACTGTACAAGATCATATTTCATTTTCATATGGTCAAATTTGTGCCTCTTAGATTCTATGTCCTGCTGAGGAAACCTCTCCACTTCTGGTTTCTTTCATTTGTTTTATGATTTCATATATTTTAATATTTAAATTTTCATTTTACCTGGAATGAATTTTAGCAGAAAAATTAAGATATAGCCCCAATGTCATTTTGTTCCAAAATGCTGGAGAGTCATGTTGTAAATTAACTATACTCCAATAAAATTTTTTTTTTAAATGCTAGTGAGTAGTCCCACCATCTTTTACTTCATTTGTTCCCCCACTGAGTTAAAATGCTATGTTGCTGCAAAATTCTCAGGTGTACTAGGCCGTGTTCCTGGACCCTATAGTTCTGCCAAGTCTATGTCTGTGCCTGACTCATGCAATTTTGATTAAGTATATCAAATTACATATCAGTTAAATATATTAAATTATATATTATTATAATACCTTTTAAATATAATAAATATATTGAATATATATTTTAATATATATACCTTTTAAATTTGGAAAATTTAAGTACTGAGTACATGAGGAAGAAAAGTTAGTGAAGGAATTTTTGTGTCCTAGGTAAGTTCTAAGGCTTAACTCTGCTCCTCTTCTTTCTTTTCATCCAGTAACCTGTCAAACGAGTCTTTCCTCAAGAAAAGAACAAAATGTGATATTTCCGGTCGGACAATAACAATTTTAGATATCCACAGCATAGAGATTAGTGTGCTCAGCAATCAGCAATGTAAGGTTATGGTAGGGAGAGGCAGCAAAAATGTTAGAGATACTGACTTCAACACTTCATGAGCAACTTTAGCTCATGACATGGCCCCATGAACTGTAGCCCACCAGGCTCCTCTGTCCATGGGATTCTCTGGGTAAGAATACTGGAGCCGGTGGCCATGCCCTCCTCCGGGGATCTTCCCAACCCAGGGATTGAAGACCCAGGGCTCCCACATTATACAGGTGGATTATTTGCCATCTGAGACACCAGGGAAACCCACACTTTGGAAAAGCAGGACTGGACTAGGAGTTGAGACCTGAGCAAAGGTCAGGGCTGCCGTAGTTATGACTCATGTCCCTGGGGTGCGCCACAGATGCTCTCTAAGGGTGGAGGTAGCTGACTGAGGAGGGTGACATAAAGTCCCTCTATTTCCTTTCACAAAGCTTAGGCATCTGGAGCCCTAGATTTGGGTAACACACAGGCTGGGCATGCGATGGTGGATATAAAGGACATAAGATCTGAAGACAATTATACTGGGAAGAGGGCATATAAAAGAAGGGGAGGAAGTAATACAGCATAGAATATCTTTCTTAGCCTGATTTTTTTTTTTTTTTTCCTCTTTTGAGATGTTTTGTGTTATATAAACCTAGGGCAATAAATGGGCACCAAAATTTCTTATAATTTGGATATATTTCTCTTTTTTTTTTAAGTCACTAAATACAAAGAAAAAGAAACAAAATTTAAGCATATGGTTCTTCAGATCACCTTTTTTGAAGTGACCACTTTTCTCTCCTCAGATTTATTCAGCAGTTACCCATCTGTTTCACTAATACGCATCACTGATTGTTCTTCTCACAGCGGCACCTGATTCAATCACAGCTTGCTTACCTGGAGCCTAGCCACCGCAGCCACCCCAGTGCAGGATTCTCTGCAGGCCTTAGCTTTGGTGCAGCTGCCTGCTGCAATGGTGCTAAATTGGTCTCAGCTGCTGCTCCTGCCTGAAACACTGTCTTAGAGATAATTTTATATCAGACTCTTCATTATACAGCTAAGGAAACTGAGGTCTGCTTCTAACAGTCTATGAGTCAACAAACAAAATTTGGATGGAAGACAGGTTTTGACTCTGAATTTCCTCCTTCTCGGAATAAAGCAAATAATTTTTCCAGTTGTTCTAGAACTTAATCCTCTTGTCACAAGTGAAGAGAAGCCATTTCAGAGGCAAATTAGGGAAGGAAAGTTGAAAAAGGACACAAATCCCTTCTGAGCTAAGGAGGGGAAGGAGGTTGATGCTTCAGTGTAAGTTTAGACATTGTATTTCAGGGTCTTCTTCACACGCATTAAAAAAGCCAAACTTTTATTTATTTATTCTTGGCTGTGCTGGGTCTTTGTGGATGTGGGCTTTTCTCTAGTTGTGGTGAGTAGAGAGGGGCTACTCTCTAACTGTGGTGCACGGGCTTCTCATTGCAGAGGCTTCTCTTGTGGAGCACAGGCTCTAGAGAGTGCAGGCTTCAGTAGCTGTGGCACATGGCCTCGTAGTTGTGGCTCGCGGGCTCCAGAGCACAGGGTCAGTAGCTGTGGCACAGGGGCTTAGTTTTTCCACGGCAAGCAGGTTCTTCTTGGACTAGGGATCGAACCTGTGTCTCCTGCATTGTCAGGCGGATTCTTTACCACTGAGCCACCAGGGAAGCCCCCACATGCATTCTCAAAAGATACTCTATTCTAAATTTTCAGGATTTCAGCTCATTTACTAGGTATAAAGTTTCTAGATTTAGCAAATAAAAACATAGGACATGTGGTTAAATTTAAATTTCATAAAATAACAATTTTTCAGTATGAGTACCTCCCAAATATTTCATGGGACACACTTGTATTAAAAACTCTCCATTGTTTCCCTGAAATTCCAATTTAACTATATCTTATCTGGCAACCCTAACTAAGTAGTGGACATTATTTCAGATGAGGGGTTTCACAATGGCCTAAACCAACACAGAAAGTTAAACCTACGTTGGACGTTGGAACAAGGTATCCACTTCTGTCTTAGCTCTCCTGGAAACATTTACCCCCAGTCCTCTTAACTTCTTCCTGATACTGGTCTATTTGATATACATCCCTGAACCACCACTCTTTTTTACTCCCTTCCTATTTCCCTCTAGCTTGTTTTCCTACTCTCCACTCCTTCATTCTTCCCTCTTAATTGCCGAGCAGCTGGACACATATCAGGATACAAGGAGTGAGCTTCCCGAGCGTGTATGGCCACATGTGCACATTCCTGAGGACTCACTCCACATCTCTGCACGGGAAAGCTGTTTTGACGATGCAGCCCTCTGGGGAGGACGAGACAGAAAGGGTGCCTGTCTCCTGGTGGGGCTCCCCTGCTCCCCTGGCAACAAGCCTCAGGGGGAGTATAGGAATAGATTAACCTACCTCTAATTAATTCAAATTAAATTTGAATTTCAACTGGACAATGAATAATTTTTAGTACAAGTATGTTTCAAGAAAACTTGGGATGTACTCATATAGCACGGAAACAGCCCACGTGTCCTGGAGCCAAATAAAGGAGAGAAGAGCTATTCATGGGTCTGCCGTGGCTTTCCAGGCTTAGGTGATAGTTTTGGGTGGGGTCTAAACCAGGGATTTTCCCAGACATGCATGGGACACTCCCCCCACCGCCCTTCCCATCACCCCGCAGAGGGGATGCTTGCAGCACTAGTCTCCTTGTTCGCGCTTTCTGGTCCATTCCAGGGTTCTTTATTTCAACTACACTGTGTCTGGACGCTCAGATTTCCTGAATCCCTTGGCAGCCAAAGGGGCAGGGCTGAGAATGGAGAGCTGCTGCTTGCAGGCAGGAGCCAGGGGAAGTCAGTAGAGCCACTCTAGAGACTCTCTAGGCTGAGGCTGGGAAAGAGGTCTTCAGTGCACGGGAGGGGGGTGTCTCCAGGGAGAAGCAGCTTGCTGGGACCCCAAGAAGCAGCAGAGCTGCGATTGTGATCACACTGTGGGTGTGGCCTGTCACTCTAAACCAGACGGTCTTCTAGAATCCCAACTCCTTTAAATAGGCTCTATGGTCAGCACCAGACAGTAGGAGCCTGGGATTGCTGCCTGGCTCTGATAGCCTCCAGCCCAGGGCAGGGAGGCTGTTTCTGGGTGTGGCCACTCTGCTCTTTTTCCACAGTCCCAGTAAGAGGCAACAGCAAGGCTGGGGCAGGACTGCGCCAAGGTTCCTACTAACAGGCAAGGATGATGAAGGCTGAACAAAGCTGCTGTCAACACCTCTGCCGGTCTCCTCTCTTTTTCCTCTGGTGCCTGACCAGCCCAGGGCTGGGGGAGGGCTGGCTCATTCTGTCTCAGGCTGCCCCACTGCTGCCGCTAAGTCGCTTCGGTCGTGTCTGACTCCCTGCGACCCCATAGACAGCAGCCCACCAGGCTCCTCCGTCCCTGGGATTCTCCAGGCAAGAACACGAGCTTGCCCCACTAGACATTGCTTAATTATTAAAACGTTCTCCCACCCACCCTCTACAGGCCAGAAGCTGTCCTAATTACCAGGAAGCCAGAATACCAAGTTAAACTTTTTCACAGAACTTTGTCTTTTAACTCCCTCCATTATGGTACTCCTCCCTTTCACACGTACCCTGTGAGTTAGCTCACCTGGTTGTCGATCTTGATCTCGATCAAGGTGTCATTTTCCTTTAGTGCCTCTACAAGGGCCAGGATCCCAGCACCAGTGATGAAATTGGATTCTATGTTTAGACTTTTCAAGGTCTTGTTTACTTTTAGCATATCTGCAAAGGCCTTATGATGTGAAAAAGAAACAACCATTAGGGTTTCTAAAGATTTATTTACCAAACTTCTCACCACCACATTAAATATTTTTTTTACAGTACTTAAAGAAAACCTTAGTTAAATCATAACTTCACCTTCAAGTAACAAAGGTAATAATTAAAAAATGCAATAAAAATAGTTCAGTTCAGCAGCTCAGACTAATAAATTCCACATACTTGCAAAATTAAAAAAAAAAAACAAAAATTGTTGTTGTTTAGTTGCTAAGTTGTGTCTAACTATTTTTGACCCCATAGCCTGTAGCCCTCCAGGTTCCTCTGTCCATGGGATTTTCCAGGCAAGAATACTGGACTGGGTTGAAATTTCCTTCTCCAAGGTAGCTTCCCAACCCAGGGATCGAACCTGAGTCTCCTGCATTGGCAGGCGGGTTCTTTACCACTGAGTCACTAAGGAAGCCCCCCTAAAAAGACACTGACATAGAATTAACAACTTTGTTTCATTAAGGACATTAAAAAACCCACAACCATCTGTTATCATTGTCAATTTTTTTTTTTTTTTTGAGAAAAGGCATTTTAACATTAGGGAAAAAAATGTAGAAAAGATTAATCTCAGAATTATTTCATTTTTCTCCTTTTACTATGAATGGATGAAGATTTTTATCATTGACTAGCATTTGGGCACTACTAATTTAGTCGTATTATTTCAGGTCATCTGTAAATCAGGATTTGCAAAGATAACTTTTGGAACAAAATCACGACCCAGAGTGGCAGAACCACTGGTGACTCCCAGATGGACAGTGGATGGCACACAGGCATCTGTGTGTTCCCTTCATCCCCACAGTTTCCCGCTGTCATAAAGAGCAGGTATACTTTTTAAGTGGCTGGAACTCCTACAATGCAAGAAAACAAAAACAGAGGGCCATTATTTTGAAGAGTTGCTAAAATACAGAAAGATTGGTGGAGAAACGACCACACAATCACCTGAGATGCCGAGGTGAGTCCCAGCGGTGTGCGTGTGTGCTACGTGTCTCAGTCGTGTCCGACTCTTCGCGACCCTATGGACTGTAGCCCTCCAAACGTCTCTGTCCATGGAATTCTCCAGGCAAGAATACTGGAGAGAGCTGCTGTGCCCACCTCCAGGGGATCTTCCCGATTCAGGGATCGAACCCATGTCTCTTAAGTCTCCTGCACTGGCAAATGGGTTCTTTACCACTAGCGCTACCTGGGAAGCCCCAATTAGGGAGTCTCACTACAAAGCTGCCTTAGGAACAGGTGGATCAGCGAGAGCAGGAGGAGAGCACAACTCTTCCTGAGGCTTCCCTGGAAAGGGGCAACTGCCTGCACAGCCGTCAGTGAGAAATCTCCCAGGAAGAGGCTTGGTGAGGGTGCTAGGTCCCGAGACTGAAGCAGTGCAGAAACGGAGGCACTCCCAGCTCTTCCGCCAGATACAGAGTGGGAGACGGGACAGGAGAGGCGGCAATGCCCAGGATGGAAATACGCTGAACCGTGTCCCTCCCAGAGGGAAGCCCTCCCAACTTGAGCAGTTGCTGAGGACTCCCCGGTTGCCTGCTAGCTTCTCATACCCACACTACAGAGAAGGCTGCTCATCAACTCATCTGCCTGCTTACAAAAGCACTCGCTCATTCATTCATTTACTCACTCATTCACTTAGAAAAGATTATGTGTCAGGCTTCTGCTTTGTGCTAGGTGTAGAGAAAACAAAAATCCCTGTTTTAGGGAGCTTATAGTTCAGCAGGAGAGGCAGCGGCAATAATGACTAAATAAAATGTGTGGCCTGCCAGATGGTAACAAATGGAGAAATATAAAGGGGCTTCCCTTTTAAGGGATAGGTCTTTTGGCGAACCAGATCTACATAACTGCAGAGGAAATAGTCCCGGTTTATACAAATCAATTTTGTTCTCTATTTGGAACTATGAACAGGCAAACAATGACTGCTAGACCTAATAGGAAAACCAACATCAGGAGAGAAAAGTTGAGTTCACAAAACAGGCCAGCATGCTATGCAGGGAACACAGAATATTCAGAGAACAGAAATATGTAAAACTTTCAAATTTTATCAACTCTCTCCACCTTGCCCCACTTCCAAAAAAGAAAGAAAGAAAATAGAGAAAGAAAAAACACTGTAATCTACTCACAGAGAAACAATAATCAGACTGCCATTAGTCACTAGACTTTAAGGCCCATATAACTGAGGCTTTAATGTATTTATACAGCCAGATAATTGTAAATGCTGGTGATAAATTCTAATTTTTTGGTGTCAATCTATACACCTAACTGAATATAATGAGATAAAATGTATAAAGCTCAAATGTGTGAAATAGTAGAATAACTACAATTTAGAGCTAGAAAAGGAAGATGAAGTAGAAAGAAGAGAGAGTACAGAGTTGCCCAATCTTTTCTAACAGAGAATCAAAAACTATCTGAGATAATAAATCAAAAATAAAAGTGCATATGTATTAGTGCATTTCTACCTGGTTGCACACTAGAAAGACCTGGATGCTTTAAAAAATACACCAATGCTTGGGCCCCACCCAAGATGAATTAAATCAGAATCTCAGGCTGTGGCCTGGACAGATGCTTTGTTTGTTTTATTTTTTATTATTGAAGTATAGTTGATTTATGACTGCATTTTTGAAAAGCTCTTCAGTGACTATTGTTCAGCCAGGATTCAAAATCACTTTAATTGAAATCATATAGACAACAACGAAAGGAATGAAAAACAAGCTGCTAACAGTGATTGCTCTCGGGAGTAGAACAAGGAACTTCTGAACTCTTTTGTTTTAATGGCAGAAAGGCCAAGAAGAAGGAAGGGGAGAAGGAATTCAACTTGAGACAAGAACAGGTTTTCCAACCTCAAGACCATCGACATCTGAGGCTGGAGAATTCTTTGCTGTGGGAGGTGTCCTGCGTGTTGTGGGAGGTTTAGCAGCCTCTGAGACCCACAAAATGTCAACAGTACCCTCCCAGTCATGACAACCAAAAATATCTCCAGACACTGCTAAATGTTCCCTGGAGGGCAGAAACACCCGGAGTTGAGAACCACTGGACTAGAAGAATAATCCTGTGTATTAGTCAAGCACTTGCTTGAACTACAAGGAAAGCTCAAGAGTTTGCACTGATGTTACTGTACACCATGTAAATTAAAGTGTATTTATTCAGTGCTAGGTCTTTAATTAGAATCAAATGTACACATTTTAATTAGAGCCCCAAAAGGGAATGCATCAGGCCTTTCCTTATGGATTCTCCAAGCTTTGGGATTTACTTCTGCTATTAGAATAACAAAATGTCAGAGCAATTAGGCCTTTATAAAAAACTTGCAGGACCTACTGGCAAGTAGCCATGATCTCGCCAATTTCTTTTAAACTGGAGAAAACACTTTTCTTATACCGAACAAAACAGGGAAGAGAGATCCAGCCAAACACAACCCTGGGCTCCAGGCCCAGGTTCACTGCAGTTCAGCAAATATTTGAGCATCTATTACATGTGCTGGGGATAATAACATTAGTGAAACCAAGACTAGATTTCTTAAAGGTTATATAAATAGTGAAGAAATACATTTTTAAAGAGAAGGTTTTGCTTTCTGTACTTCACAGTGTTATGTGGAAATTGCTGTTTCCTGCACTGTCCAAACCTATACCCTCGCAGGGGTAGCCACAGGGCTCACGTGGCTATGGAGGCCTTGAAAAGTGCCTCTTATGAACTGAGATGTGCTGTAAATATAAAACATGCATTGGATTTCAAAGATGTAGTATGGAAAAATACTGCAAAATACCTCATCACATATACATTTTGAAATGATGGTATTTTGGATATGGTGGTTTAAATAAAATATATTATTAAATTTAATTCCACCCTTTTTTTTTTAATGTGGTTACTGGAAAATTTAAAGGTCCATGTGTAGTTCTCATTTTATTTTTATTTGATAGTGCTGTCCTAAACTTCTGATTTTTATGTGGCATTCCTATTAATAACAGCATTTTTTAAAAACATATTTGGGCCTTTTCTCTACATTGGCATTCATTAGTGTGGTCAGTTTCATTAACACTCCCTGCTATAGGTGTGATTATATGGAAGCACGTGGAGCATGGTAAACTGAATTTGATTACAGATCACTTAAATTTGCTTCCTGGCTTGGTCACAAGCTGGGTAATCTTAGTTAAGGTACTCAAACTCTGAGCCTCAGTTGCCACATATGTAAAATGGGGATAATGTCATCTCACATCCACATAGCTTGTCTATATTCACTATAATCCCACAAGTATTTTGTAGAGTCTATTTGTGAACCTTACATAGAAAAGAGTCTCCAAGCTCTTGCTTTAATGCTGATCTGTAATTCTCAACAGTGAGTTGTTCACCCACAATCATAGTCTGAATATCTCTGCTGCCTGTGGGATAATCAACCAATCTTCAACCTATAGAAAAGTTCTTTTCTGACGATAGCATAGCTGAAAGGGGAACCATCTGGGGTCAGCCAGGTGAGGGCTGGACCATGTGAAGCCATCCAGGCATAAGGCTGGAAGAGGCTTTTCTTTTCAGTCTAAAGGATAACAGTTATTCCTTGCAGTTGTATGGTGCGCTTGTCACAAGGCATACATTCAATACATAGTTGTTGGATTGAAAACTATATCAAGCAGATTATTATATTTGATATAACAATATATTAATATATTATTAATATACTTTGGGCTATATTATGTTTTATATAATAATATATAATATAAATACATTATAGATATGTGTTAATGTATATTATTAACATATTGGGCTGTGTAATGGATATATATATATTATATTAGTCCATTCAGCAAGTTATCTATTTGCTGTAGAGTAGAAGTTAGATTATTTACTAGTAGTGCTGACAGTAAACTATAAACTAGTTGCATCCATGCCATTTTACTGTAAATATTATATTACACAGAAATTACAAATCATTTATTTATTTATCCCTTTAGTTATTTACATACAAAATGCACTGTGAATATTTTTGCTTAACTGAAAACAAATCTAGTAAAGGGCAGAGATTATACACAAAATCATACACAGATAAGAACCTTTAAATTGCTAACTTTACCTCACCAATAATCTAGTTATGTTCTTTTTCTATTTCAATGATAGGCTTCAAATTAAAAACTGCTTTCAACCTACAAATTTAGACATGTAATAACTGCTGGTGAAAACATCAGTTCTGTAGCTTAGCCCCTCTCTTACATGAGTGCTTACTTCATATTTGCTGTCGTCATCATGGAAATACTGCCTATTGCTCAGAGGTTAGAGGGCACATCCATTTATTCATTTAACAAGTATTTTTCAATACTTGTTTTTCAACATCTACTCAGCACCAGCACTGTGGTGGGTAGCATTACTTTCTTGCTGTCCCTTTGTAATGTTATTTTAAATCTTCCAAAAGACATGTTACTTTAAAGAACATCATCAACTCAAGAAACTTTTATTTTTCAAGTGCTGAGAATCAGATCCTGTAGAACCATTGATGTGACCTAATGCTCAGGCTTTTGACAACTGGCACAGTTTAGCAAACATACAGCAGTGAGATAATGTATTTAAATATAGCATAGCTGGGTGGTTAGGCATTTTGATTGTGGAACCAGGACCTGGTGGTGAATCCTGGCTCTGTCCTTTGCTGATTGGGTTACTTTGGAAAAGTTACTTAACCTTTCTGAGCCTCACACTGCTCATTTGTTAGAGTGGGAACTAATAATAGTACACACCTCATTGTGTGTACTGAGGATTCAGTGAGATGACCTAGCAAAGGCAAGGATCAGAGCTGGCAGTTACTAACTGCTCAAGAAATGTGAGCTATTAATAGGAGGAGTAACACTGATGATGGCAATGGTAGCAGTATTTCCTTGGGCTCAGGGGTTTCCTTATTTACTCGAATCAGCTAAGGTGCTTAGAAGGAATAGACCTTTTTTTTTCTTTCATCTTCTGGTTAACAATATCAAACAAAAAATGGTTTAAGATTTGGTTGTTTAAAATATTTTTGAGACATATGAATCCACTTAAAAGATTAAAATGAAAAATATGTTAACATTTTTTCTATGTGCTGAGTTCCTGTAGGCTTTCATGGGGGAGGGGTCTCATATCCATTTATTGTGATGGAATGCTACTGAGGTGCAAACGTTTCAGAAAATTTATACTAAGAATTAAACAAAATCTAAATATTTATTTAGCTAGATGCCTAATCTAATCTTATATCTTTCTCCTAAAAGTGTAGTGTTAACAAAATTCTAGTGAATTCAAAGTGCCTGACTTGTGGGTTCTTGTTTACCATCTCATTATAACTAATTTTGTTTATTAATTATACAGAAAATAAATTGACCAGATCTGAACATTGTTAATTGATAAAACAAATTAAAAATAGCTTCTACTGAATTAAATATCTGAGGGCTATATTTCTAAGGATTTTACTCACAATTGCCACAGGGTCATTGCTGCGGGTTGCGGCCAGACTGAACTTTTTCACATGAGTGTTGGTCTCCAGGGCCTTTGCAAATTCCTTCAGGGTTGGAATTGGAATATTCTATGAGAAAGACACAGATTGTTGATGAATCCTTCTATAGCACCTTTGCCCTAAGCTCAGGACCCACAGCTTTTACATACAGCAGGTCCCCGACCTATGCATGAGTTTCGTTCTGAGAGCACATTCCCAGGTCCAAAGTGTATGTAACTCCAACAAAGTTAGCCTAGGTACCCAACTAACACAATCAGCTAGATAATACTGTACTGTAACAGGTGTATAATACTTTTCACACAAATAATACATATATAAAAAAGAAACACAAAAAACAAACATTTTTAATCTTACAGTACAGTACCTTGAAAAGTACAATAGTACAGTACATCAGCTGGCATACAGGGGCTGGCACGTATGCTTGCATCTTTGAAAGTTCACAATTTGAAGGTTCCTATTTTGGTGACTTAGATGAACCTTAGATTTTATCCTCTCTAAAAGACATTCATCAGCCATCTCTAGCAACTAACCTATCCAGAGCCAATAGCCCCACTTAGTGTCCAATAAGGGAATCTAACACAATGTGACACTCGCATCACTTCTGTTTACCCTCCGAATTATGCACATACCACCCTTCCCTCTTTTTCTCTTTCATTCTCTATAGTTTAGACAGACTAGAATTAAACTAGCTCTAATTCCTACTCATCTTTCAAGACCCAGCAGAAATATCACCTCCTTTGTTTATTGGTTCTCCTAGGCAGGATCAATTTCCCTTACCTGCAATTCCACAGAATTTGGGGGTTTACCACATCATGTTATAATTATCTGCTTAGTGTTTTTCTCCTAGTTTGAGTTCTTCAGAATTGAGACCGAATGAACCTTACTCCCCCTTCCATAGCACTTAGCACAGTACTGAGCACCGGAGAGGCAGACAATACGGGGCACAGCTAGAGGCCAACATGAGTTCATGGAACACTACAGGCCAGCTCTGTGACTGTGGACAACTGAATTTTTTAAAGTCCCATTAAGGATTAAATGAGATAATGAATTTCAAGTATTTAGCAAAGTATATGGCACATAGCTAGTACTCAATAAAAATCAGTTGATACTATTAAATGCTAGAAATTGGCCTAATAAGAAGGAACGAAAAAGGTGTCAGGTAGTGTTTTCTCTTTCTCTCATTCTTTCTCTCTCTCACTCTCTCACACACACAATTTCTCCTCCCTTTGAGAGTGCTAAGACATTGTCAAAGCAGAAGTGACTTCAGAGAATAGGCCCATAAAAGACATTGTGGCTTTCAGTTTACTCTCTCTTTTCTCTTGGGTCATTTGCTCTGGGGGAAGCAAGCTGTCACGACGTGAAGATATATTGGCGGCCCCATTGAGAGGTCCACGTGCTGCGGAAACTGAGGCCTCCTGCCAACAGTCACATGAGTGCGCCATCTTGCAAATGGAGCCCCAAGCCCTGGTCAAGCCTTGAGATGACTGCAGCTCTGGCTGACAGCTTTACTACAGCCTCATCTGAGACCCTGAGTCACAACTACCCAGCCAACTCACTCTCAGATTCCTGACACTCAGAAATTACGTGAAATAATAAACTGTTGTTTTAAGCCTCTAAGCTTCGGGGTAATTTGTTACTCAGTAGTAGATAACTAATAACACTTGTTTAACACAAGTACTGTAATGCTTTTCAAAGAATTCTAGAAATGACTCTTTTTTTTAAACCTACTTCTTTATTTTAAAAATTTATTTTTATTATTATTTTTTAACTTTTTATTTTATATATTAGAGAATAGCCAATTAACAATGTTGTGATAGTTTTAGGTGGACAGCAAAGGTACTTAGCAATACATACACATGTATTCATTCTCTCCCAAACTCCTTTCCCATCCAGGATGCCACATAGCATTGAGCAAATAAATCCACTCCTTCTGAATAGGATATTTTGCCTCGAAATCAGTGACGATAAAGGATTTAGAACATGTGTAAAGGCAGGCAGTCATCTCCAGTAAGTTTTCTGACTGAACGATAAATCAAGTGACTGACGAAAATCATTTGAAATACCTTAATATTATTGAGGTTGACTTCTTGCAAGCTGGGATCATTGGCTTTCATCTGCTGTAGACTTACTTCCACATTTGTGGGATTTGGTGGTTCCTCAAATACTGGCTTGACCTTTTCACCTTTGACCACATCTAAGACACAAATTTTAATTTTAAAAATAAAATGTAGTATCTCTCCCATAAAAATCAGAGACAACTTCCCCCCAAATGACCTTCTTGTCATATGTGGTGATTCCAATAATATTCTAATATCAGTGACAGCAAGCTTATTCTCAACTCAGCAAGCAGAGGAATGGTGTGGCTCTGAGTTACAGCCTCCCAGGTTGGTGTTTTCAGCTGCAATGAGAAGTCTCAGTGGTTTATGTTCCATGGAGCCAAAAGTGCAGGAGGCTCTGCAGCAAACTCAAACTCCTAAAATAATATCCACAGGTAGTTATAGCTGCTCCATATGGACCTCTTTCAAATTATAATAACCAAACCAAAGAAACTAAGATGCACTAAAATGAGTTCCTTTATTTCCCAAACCCAATTCTCCTCTGGCCCATCCTCTGATTTCCATCTTGGAGCTTTAATTTTGAGGATTGTATAGGAAGAGAAAGGAATGGAAAAGAAGAAGTAGAAGAATTCTCAAAAGCAGTTAACAGAAAATGTTTGCAATGTATGTAATACACAAAGGGTTCATATCTCAATATACATAGAGCTTCTACAAGGCAGTAAGATAACCCACTGGAAAATGAACAGCTAATGATGAGAGGAATCTCTATCAGTCAACCAAAAAAATGTAAAAAGTAATTAAATTCTGAGGAATTTAAAAATGAGATACCATTTGATTTGCCAAAAAATGTAAAATGATAATATTCAGAGTCAGAAGGAGAGATATTCCACGTACAGAAATATTCAGTGTTGTCAAGATGTCAGTTCTTCCCAAATGTAATGCAATCCCAATCAAAATCTCAGAAATTTATTTTGCAGATATTAAAAAATGATTATAAAGTTTATATAAAGGGGAAAATACACAGAATAGCCAAAACAATATTTAAAGAGAAAAACAAATCCAGCAATTCAACTTCAAGAAGACTTAAAGCTATAGGAAGGAAGATAGTGATATTGGTGAAAATATACAAATAGATCAGTGGAACAGAATACAGAGTTCACAAATAGACCCACATAAGTACAATCAATTGATCTTTGACAAAGCAGCAAAGGTAATATAGTGGAGAAAAAAGTAGTCTCTTCAACAAATGGTGCTGGAACAACTGGACATCTACATGAAAGAAAAAAATAAAAGAATCTAGATACAGACCTTATGGGCTTCCCAGGTGGTGCTAGTGGTAAAAGACCCATCTGCCAATGCAGATGTAAGAGCTGGTTCAATCCATGGGTTGGGAAGATCCCCTGGAGGAGGGCATGGCAACCCACTCCACTATTCTTGCTGGAGAATTTCATGGACAGAGAAGCTTGGCAGGCTACCTTCCATAGGGTTGCAATGAGTTTAACACGACTGAAGTGACTTAGTACTCACACCCAGACCTTACACTCTTCACAAAAATTAACTCAAAATAGATCACAGACCTAAATTTAAATGCAAAACTATAGAACTCCTAGGAGATAACATAGGATAAAATCTAGATGACCTTGGGTTTGAAGATGAAGTTTTAGATACAGCCCTAAAGGCATAATCCTTAAAAGGAAGAATTGATAAACTGACCTGCATTAAAATTAAACATTTATACTCTACAGAAAATACTCTCAAGAGCAATGGGGAGATAAAGCACAGACTGGGAGAAAATATTTGCAAAAGACACATCTGATAGACTCACAGATATGGAGAAAAAACTAGTGGTTACCAGTGGGGAGAAAGAGGAGGGAGAGACACTATATGGGTATAGTGAAAAAAAGGGTTGTTATGGGATTATTTGAAATCATGTGTGTGAGTACATCAAGGCTGTATATTGTCTCCCTGTTTATTTAACTTATATGCAGAGCACATCATATGGAATGCCAGGCTGGATGAAGCACAAGCTGGAATCAAGATTGCCAGCAGAAACATCAATAACCTCAGATATGCAGATGATATCACCCTTATGGCAGAAAAGCAAAGAGGAACTAAAGAGCCTCTTGATGAAAGTGAAAGAGGAAAGTGGAAAAGCTGGCTTAAAGCTCAACAGTCAGAATACTAAGATCATGGCATCTGGTCCCATCACTTCATGGCAAATAGATGGGGAAACAATGGAAACAGTGACAGACTTTATTTTTTTGGGCTCCAGAATCACTGCAGATGGTGACTGAAGCCATGAAATTAAAAGATGCTTGCTCTTCGGAAGAAAAGCTATGACCAACCCAGACAGCATACTAAAAAGTAGAGACATTATTTTGCCAACAAAGGTCCATCTAGTCAAAGCTATGGTTTTTCCAGTAGTCATATGGATGTGAGAGTTGGACTATAAAGAAAGTTGAGTGCCGAAGAATTGATGTTTTTGAACTGTGGTGTTGGAGAAGACTCTTGAGAGTCCCTTGGGCTGTAAGGAGATCAAACCAGTCGATCCTAAAAGAAACCAATCCTGAATATTCATTGGAAGGACTGATGCTGAAGCTAAAGTTCCAATACTTTGACCACCTGATGCAAAGAAGTTACTCATTGGGAAAGACCCTGATGCTGGGAAAGATTGAAGACAGAAGGAGAAGGGGACGACAGAGGATGAGATGGTTGGATGGCATCACCAACTCAATGGACATGAGTTTGAGTAAACTCTGGGAGTTGGTGATGGACAGGGAAGCCTGGCGTGCTGCAGTCCATGGCTTGCAAAGAGTTGGACATGACTGAGTGACTGAACTGAACTGTGTGAAACTTTTGCAATTTGTAAAACATTATATAATTTTCAAAATCTTTGATTCATTAAAAAAATCAGAAAAAAGACACATATGGTAAAGCACTTATTCAATATATATAAAGAACTCTTAAAACTCAATGATAAGGAAATGACATGATTTTAAAAATAAGCCAAAAATGTTAAGAGATATCTCATCAAAGAAGATATACAAATGAAAAATAAGCATATGAAAAGATGCTCCACATCATATGTTATCAGGGAAATGCAAATTAAAATAGTGACACACCACTACACACCTATTAGAATGACCAAAATCTGGAACACTGACAAAACTAAATGCTGGTGAGGATGTGGAGCAACAGAAATTCTCATTCATTGCTCATGGAATTCAAAACCAGACATCTTACCATAAGATTCAGCACTTATGCTCCTTGATGTTTACCCAAAGGAATTTAAAATTTATGTCCAAAATCTGAACATGGATATTTGTAGTAGCTTTATTCTTAATTTCCAAAATGTGGAAGCAACTAAGATGTCCTTCAGTAGGTAATCTGATAAACTGTGATACATCCAAATAATGGAACATTATTCAGTGTTAAAAAGAAATGATCTATCACTGCCACATGATTTAGCAATTCCACTCCTGGGCATATGTCTAAAATAAGCAAAAACACTAATCTGAAAAGTCACATGCATCCCCATGTTCACAGAAGTATTATTTACAATTGCCAAGATATGGAAGCAGCCTAAACATATATCAACAGATGACTGGATAATATACACCCATATGTACAAACAAATATGGGCTACTACTCAACCATGATAAAGAGTGAAATTTTACCATTTACAACAACATGGATTAACTTGGAAGGTAGTATGCTAAGTGAAATAAGTCAGACAGAGAAAGACAACTACTTTAAGATGTCATTTATATGTGAATCTTAAAAAAACAAATAGTGAATATAACAAAAAGGAAATAAACTCACAGATACAGGGAACAAACTGGTGATTACCAGTGGGGAGAGGAAAAGAGGGAGGAGCAAGACAGAGAATTAAGAATTCTCTTAATAGAGAATTAAGAAGTACCAATTTTTATGAATAAAATAAACTATAGGGATATATTATATAACAGGGAATATAGACAACTCCATAATAATATATAGTAACTATAAATGGAGTATAACCTTTAAAAACTGTGAATCACTATGCCGTATACCTATAACTTATAAAATATTGTACATCAAATGTTACTCTCAATAAAAAAAAGAAAAGCTCTATCAAATCTTGAAAAGACACAGAGGAACCTCAAATGCATATTACTAAATGAAAGAAACCAGTCTGAATAGGCTACATACTGTATGATTCCAACTATATGACATTCTGGAAAAGACATAATGATGGATACAGTTAAAAGATCAGCGGTTGCCAGAGGTTAGTGGGGAAGAAGAGATGAACAGGCAGAGCACAGAGAAGCTTCAGACAGTGAATCCACTCTGCCTGAAACTGCAGTGGTGGAAACATGTCATTACACATGTGTGCAAACCCACAGAATGTACAAACCCAGGGGTGAGCCCTGTTGTAAACTTCCGGCTCAGAGTGACAACGATGTGTCAATGTAGGTTCATTAATTGTAACAAACGCACCCCTCTGTGCAGGATATAGCTAAGCGGAGAGGCTGTGCATATGGAACAGCATTTCTCTGTACCTTTCTCCCAATTTTGCAGTGAACACAAAACTACTCTAAAAAATAGTATTTTAAAAAGTTAATGATATGTGTGTATGTGTATGTATAAAAGCCCAGTAGGCGATGCACCAGACTTTTTTTTATAACAAACATGTTGTCAGAATCTTACATTTTGGTATTGAGATTAAAAGGATGAATATTTTTCATTTGTATGCACAAGAAACCAGAAGGAAAATAAAAGGAATGTTGCTCACTGTCTGGGTAAATTACCCAGTATAAATGGTGGTTGATAGACACATTGCTGAGACTAGAAAGCATTGCCAAAGTCACCATCAGAGAGAATAAAATGTAATTTTATTAAGAAAAGCTGTGATTTTCTGTGAGTTTTCATAACAGCTGGATCACATTATACTGAAATTATTTGGTTATTGATCTGTCCTTCCCACACATAGATAAGTTCCTTTGGTCAGGCACCATCTTTTTTACCTTTGTACCTAAGCCTAGAACGTTCCTGACACAGTAAATATTTAGTAAATGACTGATGAATGAGTAAGTGAGAGAAGCTAATGAAGGATACACTTCTCCAGAAAATGGTGACAAAGAAGAGAGTGGTGGAATGTTCTGTGGCAAATCCACACCAGTGTGTCTTTCATGCTCTCTGGGGGAAGTAGATACTCAAATTCTAATGACAAACATCCATTATTGAGACAAAGAGGCACTCAAATAGAGAAGGAAATTTATCTAAAATACTACAGAAAATCAACCCTGAATATTCTTCGGAAGGACTGATGCTGAAGCTGAAGCTCCAATACTTTGACCACTTGATACGAAGAGCTGACTCATTGGAAAAGAACCACAGATTTCATGTCAACTTACTTCTCACAGGCCCTTTGCCGCCTTTTGTATTGGTCGTTTCTTCATCAAACTTGGGATTGTTGAGCAAATTGTGTACTCCAAGAACAGCTGAAAAGCAAAAATAACCTGTGAATAAAACTTAAGTTTGAGAAAGCTTGTTAAGATGTCCACATTATTCATTTTCCCTTTGCAGAACAATTCTTCATACCATAAAGATAAGTCTCTTGACCTCACTTGCCTTGCAAAGTGTGCGACACATGTATAGTATTAAATAAGCTTTTTTTAAAAAATTCCTCCTCCTAAGATCACTAGCATTCTTCACATCTTTCTACATCTATATATGTGGAATTGTGTAGGATCTGAGGGACAATGGTCTAGTTGTCTCCAGATTGAAAAGCTGCTTAGATCTCCCAGTTAAGTAGATTCATCCCCTATGTTTTCTCATCTGTAAAATTTGAACGTGGGACTGAGTCTAATGATATTTTAAGCTCTAACGTTATATAGACTATAGTATGTAGTTTTTCTGGAGACAAAGGGCTGAAGGATCATGGTCCTCTCTCAGTGTAAGCCTCCCCATTGCTTTCATCTCTCAGTACCAAAAAGAGTGGTTCTTTTCCCTTCTAGAGCATCCCAGGGTGGGAAATAAGAGATGTCAGCAAAAAAAAGTCGGGGAAGCAGGCTGACTTTGAGTCTCCTGTACTACACAGAACTTGCACCAGAGGGCAGTACAGTATGCAGGAGACGGCACTGGCCGCAACAACACGGAGCAGGCACTAATGCCACTGCCCACCCAGCTTGCCCTTCGCTAATGAAACTCCAGGTGAGAAATCCCAGGAGGCCGACTGGGGAAGGATGCAGGAATAAGTTGCCAGTGGCGTCAGGGGCCCACCTCTGAGCTCCTCACCTGCTGTAAACTATACTCGAGAAGGACGGCCCCTAGAGCCAACAGGTAACTGTTCAGAGCCCGAGAGTGTGGGGCTTGGCAGTGGCGGTCAGGAGCAGTCCGCCTGAGTTTAAATCCTGACTCTGTCACGTTCTATCTCTATGGCTTGAGAAGTTGTTAAATGCCACTGAGCCTCAATTTCCCCATCTGTAAAACAGGGATAGTCATCACACTTTACCTATCACAAGGGTTAAGTGACTTCCTGTGTGTGACACCCGAAGTGCTTCACAAATCCTTGTTAAGTAAATAAGGATTTGTCACTGTGTTTTTGGCATTGTCTAGGGAGAATAAACACAGAACACTGAGACCATCCAACAAGCATATCTTGCTTTGGCCCCATATTCACTAAGCAACTTATGATTATAACTTCACTCCCTTTGTCAAGTTTTAATTTTAGAATAAGGCAGAGTTGGTTCTCCTGGGAGGAAGGAGATTATTATTACTCATGTCTTCCAATGGAATAACAATGAAAATTCTTGCCAAAGCGGTGGGCTGTTTTTCAAAACACCTCTATCCTGTGGGAACCTAAGGACCCTAATAATGCAAATTTCCATCCAATTAGTATACAAATATGCTGATATATGCATGGAATCTTTTTCAAAGGCAATACAAGAAATGGGAGGAAGCTTATATAATTCGTAACATATTATTTTGTACTTTTGGGGTTTTTCCTTTTTTTTAAAATTTTTTACTTTATATTGGAGTATAGCCAATTAACAATGTTGTGATAGTTTCAGGTGCAATGCACAGCAGAGTGACTTAGCCACACGTATACATATATCCATTCTCCCCACAAACTCCTCTCCCATTCAGACTGCCACATAACACTGAGTTCCCTGTGCTATACAGTAGGTCCTTGTTGATTATCCATTCTAAAAACAGCAATGTGTACATTTGATCCCAAATTCCCTAACTATCCCTTCCCTGAGTTTTTTCTATCTGCATGTATAACCAATTCACAATTCACATATAATAATTATTATTATTATACTGTTGCTATTGTTAAGAAAACTAGAAAAAATGAACAAACTGGACTGAATATGGATCTACTTTACTGGGGAAATATAACAGTAAAATGGGTTCTGCTCCACAATTAGGTTAACAGAACTCTAAGTAGGAATCAAAAACAGTGACTGTGGGAAAGAACAAGAAATTTTGTGATGGAAATGGAAATTTTGTGATGATAAAATGCCAAATGTGGAGCTCTTTTGAAGGCATAAGGGCTGTTATTTTATTGTTTAAATTCTCAACACTCCTTCATATTTCTTCTCTTTGATTTCTCACAGTAACTCTTGGATTTTGTAGGATAGGCATTACTGTGGGTACTTTACAACTGAAATATGATTTTACATTTTATAGCTGAGATACGGTGAAATGTTTGCTCAGAGAGCTTAGGTGACCTGCATCCAGCCTCTTAGCTGCCTAATGGCTGAAGTCAACCTGGTATCACAGTAACAATTAACAGTGACACAGGTGCTCAGAGGCTGCTTCCAGGGGATCAGTGCATGTCTGGAGGTCACAGAGCTGGACAGAAAAGCGTCTCAGAGCTGAGGACTAACCTGCAAGATCATAGAGTTCAGTGTCGGAGGCGCTGGCCAAAGCTTCTTCCAGTTCTGGGTCCAGGGTCACCTTTTCTTCTTTACGAGTTTCTATGGGCTTTTCTTTGGGGATAAAGACTCTCCCTTTAAATCAGAAGAAAAACAAAAACATTGTGTAGTGCTGCCTTGTTATAGGGGAAGTGAACTAACCAGAGAATGTGCCGCTCTGGTCATTAAGAGCTGAAGCATTAAACCAATGCAGGTCTAACCAGGATTCTTTAATTTCTGAGATGATGCCAATGTCACTAATCCACTATTATAGGGAAGGGAGGCAGAGACGGAATCCTGCATTCTGCAACAGAGACCTGAGGAGGTGGAGAGGGAGACAGTAGCTTCTGATCCCTATCACGGGCAGCTCTGCCCTGAGCCCTGGGCGAGAGGGGCCCTGCCGTGAGCCCCACGCTCTAGAGGGCCCAACTCTGCTCTCTTCTGGTTGCATGCCCCTCCCCACTGCCTGCACCCCACTGATGGAAGGGCCACAGGGACAGAATACAGGCCACCTGCGAGACTATTCCCCAGGCATCTGCCCCTGAGATTCCCTGCCAAACAGCCCTGAACCCGCCTGCATGAGTCCTTCCTCATGTCCATCTTTCTGAAGGCAGGTCACACTGCTGGGGTGTGTACCCCTAGGCCAAAGGGAGGCTGTCTGTGAGTGAGTATGGATGAAGCTTGGATAGGTAGGCTAGAGTGTCAGCCATGGTGCTTGAGGCCCTGGCAGTGCAGGATGGACCCATAACCCTCTGTGGAACTCTTGGAAGTCTAAGAATATTGGCCTAGATAGGAAGATAGCACATATTTTAACAGTTTGTTAGCATTTAATATTTATAAAAATGGCACATGGACTTCTCTTCGTGTTCCTGCCTTGGATCCTGCATGTGGCAGGCGGATACATCCAAACAGCCCTGGGGTTCCTGGGGAACAAACTGGTAATCTCCCTCATTGAGATCTCCTTCTACCAACTGCAATTGTAGGCAACCAGGATGCTATATCTAGGGGTTGCTTGATATAGTGACCTGGGGACACACCATCTTTCTAGAGCACATCAAAGTCAGCCTGACTTAAAAGGAAAAATCAGAGTTGTCATATTTAGAGATGCAGAGTTCTGATCAGCAAGGCTCTGTGCTTCCCACGTATGCATTCTCTGCAACCATCTTCCACTTTATCCAGTCAGTATGATTCCACTTACTTTGTCCCCCATTCACTTCTGAATATACTGAAATCTATAGCACCCCATTGCCTGCCCAGCCTAAACCTCTAGACTGATGATCAGAGAGCTGGGAAGATGACAAGTGACCTGCTCCTAATTTCCAGGCAGGCCAACACATCCATATCCCACATGTGTGATGGCTCATAGAGATAAATCCAGGCTACTCCAGAGCCACCATGGGATACTCCAGGACTACTCACACTCTTTTTCAATTCCTTCTGGCTTTGACTCTTGGTTTCTCTCTTGGTTGGAGTTGCTCCACCCCTTGGCATGTTTTTTTTTTTTTCACCATATAGCATGTGAGTTCTTAGTTCCTTAACCAGGGATTGAACCTGTACCCCCTGCTTGGGAAGCATGGAATCTTAGCTATTAGACCACCAGGGAAGTCTCTAGGCATGATCTTTGAAATTGGCCTTCTCCATTTTGATTGTTGGAGTTTTCCAAAGACTCACCCTTCTATTGCTTTGCCTTTTCTTCACCTTAGAACAGACAGCTGGCTCTAGTTTCAGCCAATTGGGACCCAAGCTCTTTCCACATCTTGTTATTAATTGTTATTAATCTGAGACAACATGGATTGCCAATGGTGGCAGGGGCCTACTTCTGAGCACCTCATGGAAAAGGAAAGGGTCAAAACCCACATCAGGGACTCCCTCATGAAAACTCTCCAGGAGACTGCCCTGGTTACAGGGCTGCACACTTCCTGCTGGTTTACCAGACCTTCAAATGGTAGGATACATAAACGGGTGCCAGGCAGAGCCGGGGACTTCAAAGATGTACCACTGCTGTGGTCACTCTGGAATATCCTGGCCACAAGGGCTCTAGCACTGACCATCACATAAGCTGCCATGTTTCCCAGGAAAAAAGAGGAACTCACTGGGACACAAAATTGAAGAATGGCCAGAGAATAGAAAAGGAAACAAACAAAATCAATCAATCAATCAATCAATCATTAACAAAACAAAATCAATTAATAACATCTCGGACACTGAGGCTCTTCCCAGACTCTTACACAGTGTCTGCAGCCTGAAGCATTTTCTTCCTGATGTCATGATGTTGGATCCAGAGTCAAAACAGGATTTATGAGTTCCTAATTCCTGGTACCGTTCAGGATTACTCTGAACACTAGGTGTGCAGGTGGCCCAACTATCAGTATTCAGGATAACTACTCCTGCACATCCATTCCTGGGGTCCAACTGGAAGACAAGTTCTAAATGAATAATGTAGCCCAGGAAGTTGGGGGCCCAGGGCACCCAGCATTCTGCAATGAGGCTGGCGGGCTCTTCTCCTGGAACACTCACGACAGCCTCCCATTGCTCCTGGGTCACTGGTGGTCTTCCTGGGGCCCTGTACACACCTCACTCTGATCTTTCCACTCTTTCTGGAAAACTTGCTCTCTGCTCCTTTAACCCAATCATGTGGCTTCTCCTAAGCTCCCCTGTGCAGCTGTCCACCCCGTCTGGACCCCTATTTATTACTCTGACTGCTGCTGGACGCCCAACCCCCTAAGAACCATCTGCAGATTAATCTGGATCAGGAGCTAATTCACCATAGCTGCTCCCAAGACCTCTGCTCCAAGAACAGAAGACAACAGCTTTCCTCTTGTTATTCTCTCACTACCCTGATACTGCAAGTTAATTGGCCTTTTATTGAAGAGTTGACATTACAATTTATTTTTTCCTTCACAATTAGTCTAACCATAACCATGCCGCCATAGAAACAGCTCCATGTTTCTACTGCAAACCTTGGTTATTAGCCCAATTTGTCACTGCCCAACCTTACTTTCTTAATAAAATGACATCATCAGTGGTTTACGAGCCAGTGGATGCACGTGGTTCAGAGCAGCCATGACGCTGCATCGGGAAGGCAGCAGCCGAGGAGCTGGTACTCCCGCCCCCGTGGGCACAGCACAGAAGCTCAGAGATGGCATTCATTCTAATCCGTGTTGTCCAGCGCCTGCCCCACGCCACTTTCTGTGCCAGGATGCAAGAGAGACACAGTCCCACTGTGGGTCTCAGATTCATGTGACAAACACACAAAACTGGAAGTAAGTAAACAATAGGATGAATGCTGTCACAGTGCTATGAGAGCAATAGATGGATGTTGTGATAGAAGGAGTGCGTTTTAGACAGAGAGGTCAGGAAAAGCTGAAGGCCCTGACATTTAAGCTGGGACTCTCAGGAGATAAAAAATGGGGGGGGGGGGCAGGTCAGAGAGAAGACGACCTTGGGATGGGAAAAGAACTTGGCAGGTTTGGGGAATGCAGTGAGGACAGTGGGGCTGAGCTTAGTGAGGGGAAGAGAGGTGGGCCAGGTGAGCTCTCCATGACTCTGAGCACCACGGCAATGGTTTGAGCCATTAAGCAGGGAATGACATGATCAGATCTGTGTTTTAAAAAGAAAATGGATGCCACGAGGTTATCAGCGATTCCAGTCATATTTTGGGGACCAAGTCACTGTTTACAGCTGAGGAACCTGGATAGGGGATTGGTAGCCACTTTTCCTCCAAAGGGGAGCTCAGGGTGGGGAGCTAGGAAGGAGGATTTTCCTGTCTTAGTTCAGAGCTCACTCCCTGCTGAAGGAACATCCTCTTACTCCTCAGGCCCCTTCCAGGTCTATCAGAATGTTTCTCACTAGACCACACGCTCCCTGAGGGCAGGGCAGGGTCTGCCCTGTGGTCCCAGAACTTGGCACAGGGCTCTGAAGCCAGGAGGTGGCTGGTAGATGCTAGATGAACAGATGATTAACTGCACTGGCCTCTAGTGAAAGCATCTAACACAAGAGAGGCAGACCTGGGGGAGACACCTGCAACTGGGACAGTCCTCAGCTAAAAGGAACATGCCAGTGCTTGATGCTACTTTACACTTCCAAAACGGCTTCTTTGGGGCTTAATTTTTTTTTTTTAATGAAATGAATTTGAATACCATTACACTCTAAGTATTCAGTTCATTTTGGGCTTCCCAGGCAGTGTTAGTGGTAAAGAACCCACCTGCCAATGCAGGAGACTTAAGGAATGAGGGTTCGATCCCTGGGTGGGGAAGATCCCCTGGAGGAGGGTATGGCAACCCACACCAGTATCCTTGCCTGGAGAGTTCTATGGACAGAGGAGCCTGTCCATATAGACAGGGCTATAGACCCTATAGACAGGGCTACTGTCTACAGGGTTGCAAAGAGTCAGACATGACTGAAGCAATTTAGCACAGCACAGCACAGCACATTCAGTTAATTAGCATATGGGTTCCTTTTTCTGCCCCCTCACTCAAGCAGATTATTACTTTTCTTGGCTAAGCAGATCTTTTATTTTTTTTTAATAAATTATGGTTACCTGTGTGGGTTTCAGAAGCCAGATTCACACTTTTATAATGACAATATTCTTTATTTTGAACTGGCAGCTTCTTTTGTTGTTCTTTAAATTTTTATTGAAGTATAATCAATTTACAATATTATACCAGTTTTAGGTATACAACAGAGTGATTCAATATTTTATAAATTAATTATATTTAAAGTTATCACAAAAGAATGTTTATATTTTCCTGTGCTGTACAATACATCCTTGTTACTTACTTTATACATAGTAGTTTGTGTTTCTTAATCCCATACCCCTCTCTCACCCTTCCTTTCCTTTCTTTCCCTTCTGGTAACCACTAGTCTGTTCTCCATTTGTAGCCTACATCTTCTGCCATGGTTCTTTTTTTTCTTTAATTAGTAGAATTTATTTTTTGGAGCAGCTAGCATTGGAAAGTACAGACAGTTCCCATGTCTGCCCTGTCCCTAATTCACAACCTCCCCTCTAATGAGGGCCAACAGCACAGTGTATACTTGTTACAACTGCTGAACCTACACTGACATCATTGTCACCCAAAATCTACAGTTTATATTAGTGTTCACTCTTTTTTTAAAAATTGGGGTATAGTCGCTTTACAACATTGTACAACAAAGTGAATTAGCTATGCGTGTACATATATATGTCTCCTTCCTCTTTGCCCTTCCTCCAACCTGCCCCCCATCCTACCCACCTAAGTCACCACAGAGCACCGAGCTGAGCTCCCTCCACTATGCGGCAGGTTCCCACTGGCTACCTCTTTATGCATGGCAGTGCACATAGTCAATCCCAGCATCCCAATTCATCCCACCTCCCTCCTGGTCCATGCCCACAAGTCCATTTTCTATGTCTGTCTCTATTCCTGCCCTGCAAACAGGTTCATTTGTACCAGTTTTCTATATATGTATTAATATATGATATTGTTTTTCTCTTTCTGATTTACTTCACTCCACCTAAATATCCATCAGCAGATGAATAGATAAGGAAGATGTGGACTATATACAATGGAATATTACTCAGCCATAAAAAGGAACAAAATTGGGTCATTTGTAGAGACATGGAGGGCTCACCCTTGGCAGTGTATGGTCTGTGGGTCTGGACATGTGTACACACACATATGTCCACCAGCCACGATGCTTTTTAACCCTACTGAATCCAGTTCAGGCTTAGTTCCCACTCTCAGGCCAGTTCCCTCACCTGACCCGCCACAACAATACACGGGGTACTTATGTTATCAGACTCCACCTGAGGTCCTTACCTTTCTTTTCTCCGGTGAAGGGCACAAAGTCTTCCCTGTCTTTCTGTTCCAAAGCCTCCTTCTCCAGGTACATAAGGAGGTGCTCGCGGTCAAACGGGCCCGTGGCTGCTTTCTGCGTCTGGTCTTTCTGTCGAAATCCAGCTGGCAGCAGTGCACTCTGATAAGACAGAGGAATGAGCAGGAAAGGGGGTGTCTGATGCGGTTTCCCTTCCTGACCCCTGCTGTGTAGGGGGAACTTGGGCAGAGCACACCTGGCAGAGATGAGGGCTGGAGCGCTGGCATATCTTTGAGGCCCTATTCACTCTAACATTCTGTGTTGACGGGGGTGTTTCCAAAGAGCTCAGGCAGAACTCCAGCGGCTGAAACAGCCTCAGACTGCTGCAGCTGCCTTCTAGGTAGCAAAAGGCCAGCCACTCTTTACAGCCTCTTTCCTTACAGATCCCACTTAGGTCCGTCCAGCAGTGCTCCCAGTGCTTTTTTTAATTTTAAAAAGCTTTTTTTTGGCTGTGTTGGGTCTTCATTGTCTCGTGGGCTTCTCTAGGTGTGGCACTCAGGCTTAGTTCTTCTGAGTCATGTGGGATCTTAAGTTTCCCATCCAGGGATCGAACCCATCTCCCTTGCATTGGAAGGTGGATTCTCAACCACTGGACCACCAGGGAAGTCCCCACACTCATTTCTAATCTCTCCTGGGAAACATCCAAGCTGGTAAGTGATCATTATGATAGCTATTGATATCTGCTTGATTAAATGTAGAGATATTTCTTTTAAGTTTTAAAAAGTATATAGTAAAATCACTATTTTACATGTCTCTGCCTCTAAGTTTGTGATAATACTAACAGGGCTGAGGGAAGTGCTTGCTATTATAACAAGCTATTTACCTTTTTAAGAGCTCATAAAAACATGATCTGCTCCATTTAAATTTATTTGATATTACAGTTACAGTTATTCTAATCGATCCATTATTGTGAGATCACCAAGATTTTAACTTGTTTATATATGTTAAAGAAATGAGATATTAAAAATATTTGCTTTGGGGGTTAAAGATTTGGTTTAAATACCATCTCTGACATTTACCAGGTTACCAGTATGGGATCTTAAGTAAATTACTTTTCTTGGTCTGTGCCCTTATTTATGAAATGGGGATAATATAATTTAAATCAAGGACTTCTGGGCCCAGCAGAATACTTGACTCAGAAGAAACCTGGTCATGTTTGTTTCCTCTTTCTTTTTCCTTTTTTTTTTACCATAAGTCAGTCTAGTCCTTCTTGGAGTCAATGGAAAATATTTTCTGACATTTACATTAAGCTGGTTTTTGAGAAATGCAATTGCCATATCAAATATGTGGCTACTGAGGTTCTCCATGGTTTATAGAAAAGTAAGTGGCTCAGAACCAATTAGGGAAGAACACAGAATCTGCATTTGGAGCTCAGGGATTCCTATATTATTGTTTAAGGATGTGCTATATCATTCATCCCACCTTATCACTAACCACCTGCTTCAGTTCCAGGTCACTAACCTCGGGATCTAGGTCATCAAGAACATTTTCCAACTGTTTCAGTTCCTCTTCTGAGAGTTTGCCAAGAAGCTCATCTTCATCAATGTTCTTGTATTTCTCCAGCTCTTTTTGAAAAGGGAGTGCCATGGTTTCTTATATGCCCTTCTCATGGGCCATGAACATTTAACTGTGCCAGCTTCCTGAGACTTCAGAATACTAAGAAGAAGAAAGAAAGACTGTTACCTCCTTTTGATAATTAGGACCTATTAGCAGGAGACAGAGCTATGCTATCTGCCCATGGAGTCTTTCTACTGGATGAAATAGTCAACAAAATAAGTAGTATTATCTTCATCCATAGAACAGACTGTCTGCTTACAAAGTATTTTCATACATATTATCTCCCTTATTTAGATTTTTACAATGACCTGGAAAGGAAGCCCAGAGAGATATAGATATCACATTTTACAGATGAATATTCTGAGGCCCAAGTGAAACATGAGGCAAGGGGGCAGGGCACAACTTTTAAAAGAATGACATAGCCATAGGACATGACAAAAATTGATTAGAACCAACAAGGTCCAAGGTGGAAGAAGATGTGACTTCCAGTAGACATTGAGTCTTATTATATGCTCACTGTAACACATTAACATCTAAATGACACACCCACAGGAGCCACGACAGTTCTAAGGTCAACCAGCAAAGGCCAAAAAGTGGGCAGAGGCCCATTTCCTGGAAATCTCCACACGTTTCCCCAAATAGCTGGAATACTCCTCCCCCCTCATTCAGTTTCAGCTTCAATTCAGTCGCTCAGTCGTGCCCGACTCTTTGTGAGCAGCATGCCAGGCTTCTCTGTCCTTCACAATGTCCCGGAGTTTGATCAAGCTCATGTCCATTGAGTCAGTGATGCCATCCAACCATCTCATCCTCTGTCATCCCCTTCTCCTCCCGCCTTCAATATTTCCCAGCGTCAGGGTCTTTTTCAAATGAGTCAGCTCTTCGCATCAGGTGGCCAAAGTATTAGAGTTTCAGCTTCAACATCAGTCCTTCCAATGAACACCTAGGGCTGATCTCCTTTAGGATGGACTGGTTGGATCTTCTTGCAGTCCAAGGGACTCTCAACAGTCTTCAACACCACAGTTCAAAAGCATCAATTCTTCGGCCCTCAGCTTTCTTTATTGTCCAACTCTCACATCCATACATGACTAAGGGAAAAACCATAGCCTTGACTAGATGGACCTTTGTTGGCAAAATAATGTCTCTGCTTTTTAATATGCTCTCTAGGTTGGTCATAACTTTTCTTCCAAGGAGCAAGCATTTTTTAATTTCATGGCTTCAGTCACCATCTGCAGTGGTTTTGGAGCTGAAATAAATAAAGTCTGTCACAGTTTCCATTGTTTCCCCATCTATTTGCCATGAAGTAATGGGACCTGATGCCATGATCTTGGTTTTCTGAAGGTTGAGTTTTAAGCCAATTTTTTCACTCTCCTCTTTTACTTTCATCAAGAGGCTCTTTAGTTCCTCTTTGCTTTCTGCCATAAGGGTGGTGTCATCTGCATATCTGAGGTTATTGATATTTCTCCTGGCAACCTTGATTCCAGCTTGTGCTTCAAACAGTCCAGCATTTCTCATGATGTACTCTGTATATAAGTTAAATAAGCAGGGTGACAATATACAGCTTTGACGTATTCCTTTTCCTATTTGGAACCAGTCTGTTGTTCCATGTCCAGTTCTAACTGTTTCTTCTTGACCTGCATACAGATTTCTCAGGAGGCAGGTCAGGTGGTTTGGTATTCCCATCTCTTTAAGAATTTTCCACAGTTTGTTGTGATCCACACAGTCAAAGGCTTTGGCGTAGTCAATAAAGCAGAAGTAGATGTTTTTCTGGAATTCTCTTGCTTTTTTGATGATCTAGTGGATGTTGGCAATTTGATCTCTGGCTCCTCTGCCTTTTCTAAAACCAGCTTGAACATCTGGAATTTCACAGTTCATGAAATTTCACAGTTGAAGCCTGGCTTGGAGAATTTTGAGCATCAATTTGCTAGCATGTGAGATGAGTGCAATTGTGCGGTAGTTTGAGCATTCTTTGGCATTGTCTTTCTTTGAGATTGGAATGAAAACTGACCTTTTCCAGTCCTGTGGCCACTGCTGAGTTTTCCAAATTTGCTGGCATATTGAGTGCAGCACTTTCACAGCATCATCTTTTAGGATTTGAAATAGCTCAACTGGAATTCCATCACCTCCACTGGCTTTGTTCATAGTGATGCTTCCTAAGGCCCACTTGCCCCCTTCCCCTCATTAGCCTATGAAATTACCCATTGCTATAAAAACTGACAACCCCATACCCTGGTGCTGCTCTAGCCTCCCGGGATGGCCAACACTGTGTCTGTGAAATGTGTTTCTAAATAAATCTACTTCGTACTATAACTTTGGAGAAGGCAATGGCACTCCACTCCAGTGCTCTTGCCTGGAAAATCCCATGGACAGAGAAGCCTGGTAGGCTGCAGTCCATGGGGTCGCTAAGAGTCAGACACAACTGAGTGACTTAGGAGCAGCAGCAGCAACCTATAACTTTGTCTCTCACTGAATTCGTCCTGCAATGAGACATCAAGAACCCAAGCTTTATTAAGTCCTGAGACCAGGTGTGTGCTTTCAGTTAAAAGATCGTAGGTTCAGACCCCAATCAGAGTTGCATGGTTTACGCAAGTGACTGAGCGCCTTGCCTGAGGCCTCAGAGCTGTGATGTGCCAGGCCTGCGGAGTCCCCGAGGAGTGAATGCCTTCCCATCAGATTACTCTGCCTCCTTCAGCTTTCCACAGAGAACAACAATGAAAAACAATGCACTAATTGTAAGGCAGTTGTAAGGAGCAGACTTGTGTCTTTTCAAAGGGAGAGTGATGTGAAGAATACAAAATGGGGCTCATTCAGGAAAGAGAGTTTGAACCATCAGTGTGAGAAAGCATTGTCAAGAAACTCCCCTGCAAGTAAACTAAGACAGAGTCTAAAATTCTGGCTACTCTCTCCACTCTTCTCCCTTCTTTTCTTCTTTCTCCACCTCCCATTCTCTTTCTATTCTCATTTTCCTTTTGTTTCTAAAGCCATTCTCCCTAATTCTTTGTGCATGCTAAGTCACTCCAGTTGTGTCTGATTCTTTGTGATCCCATGGACCGTAGCCCACCAGGCTCCTCTGTCCATGGGATTCTCCAGGCAAGAATACTGGAGTGGGTTGCCATGTCTTCCTCCAGGGAACCCACATCTCTTATATCTCCTGCACTGGCAAGCAGGTTCTTTACCACCTGGTGATACCTGGGAAGCTGTAATTCTTTGTACCCCTAGACTATTCTTTTTTCGACTTCCTCTTTTTATACTACCTCCCTCCTAAACTTCCACTCAAAATGAAAATTTTCTCCAGTCCCTTCTTTCTGGCAGAGGAACTTTACCAATCTTCTCTAGAAAGATAATACTGTGTTTAGGAAATAGCAATGTGCTTTACTGACTGTGTTTCTCCTTTGGCAGTATTAATATCAAGCAGATCTCTCAAGGCAATAAATAACTTGTGTAAACTTACTGTTTGACAGGCATGGTTCTAAAAAACAGGAATACACAGATAAATAAGATATGACCTCCTGCCCAAGGAGATCACAGCTCAGTGATATATACATATGTGTGTGTGTATATACATATATATGTATATATATATGTATATATATATGTATATATGTATAGGATGTAGTCCCTATACGTCTTGCCGAAGAACCAGGGCTTTATTCTGTTCCAGATGGGGAGTTACTATACATTTTTCAATAGATATATAACCTTTGATATATAGGCTGCAAAGCATGTTACAGCCTTCAGCCACTGCAGCCAGCCCAATGGTGCACCCTGAGGGGACTCAGGATAGGAAAGAACAGAATACCGGCCCTAGATAAGGTGCATATCAAAGGAATGATTTCAGTGAGCCCAGTCTTTTGCAGCTCCCCACACATAAAAATGTGCTACATTCATTAACTTGAGATGTTTGGTTTTTATTAATTAATAGTAATCTTTTGATGGTCTGATTCCCTGGTTTTTGTAGCAAAAAATCCTATGTATACGGGTTCCTAGCATACCTCTCAGAGTCATCTGAGAGACTTCTGACCAGGTTTGAGTCCTCAGAAAGTCCACTGAATAAAACACAATTCTCAGCTTTGAGGCTGTGCATTTTTGTTCAGTCGACAAGTGTTATAACAGAAGTCATGTACATAGTAGGATGGGGTGGGGGAGTTGAGTAGAAACTGTGAAAAAATGTGTGTTTGAGTCTTGAAGGCAAAGGTCATAAGGTGGATGATGTATGCAGGAAAGGCAACAGCATAAACACAGGTACAGGATAAGAAAGTACAAGAGGAACTTCCCCGGTGGTTCAGTGGTTAAGACCTTGCTCTTCGACTGCCGGGGACTCTGGTTCGGTAGCTGGTTGGGAAACGAAGATCCCATATGCTGCAAGGTGTGGCCAAGAGACAAAAATAAAACAAAGACAAACAAAAAAGAAAGTACATGATGCTTGGTGAATGGTTGGTGTGGCTAGAGGGGAGGAGCAGGGGGGAGAGGAAAAAACAAAAGACAAGGTGGGGACACCTGTGAAGGGCCTTCCCTATACGGCTTGCCAAAATCTGGGCTGTATTCTGTTCCAGACGGGGAGTCACTACACATTTTTCAAGTAGAGGAGTTGGTCTGAGAAGACTCGTTTTCAATCAGGTAATTCAAATGGTAAGAATGAAAAACAGGTTGTTATGGAAAGAGATTGGATGTGGGTGGGCCACTTAAGAGCTATTGGAATATTGTTCCTCTCTCCTTATTTCTACTGTTTACCATGTACCAGTTTGTGGTTTTCTATTTTGGTGTCTTTTCCATATGCAATGTAACTCTCTTTCCCTTCCATCAGCCTCCCTTCTTTTAAACTTCAATTGCAATATTCCAGTAAAAAAACAAAACTAAAACAAACCAGAAAAACCCTATCCTACTAAAGTCAGAGAAACCAACTGGACTGTATACACTGTTTTCTGGTCCCAACTACCACTAACTTATTATGTGAGTCTGGACAAGAATCTCAGCCTGCCATGCTCTTAGTTATCAAATGAAATGTTTGAACTACCCTATCAAATAGACTCTAAGACACACAGTTTCTCAAATTTAACACTTGGAATTTGAGGACTATCCCACAACTGATGGTCCTACAATTA